CATAACCTTTCCAATTCTATTCTCAAAATTAGTTCCCTTTTCCCCCCCCCCAACATACCACATCCTTAGAACCCTATTAGAAGTTAACCCCATACAAATTCCCATCTCCCACCAGTCCATCTCCCTCTCGTATCCTCCCTACCCTTCAATTTCTTCCTCAATACACCCCACGTCTCATCCCCCCACCCCCCCCACCTCCTTAACACCCACACACACCCCCACTACGTTAAACAATATATCCACACCCCACCCCCCACCCACGACGTGCTCTCACCCACCACCCCCACGCATTCTCACAAACCACCACCACTCCTTCACACACCACCCACCCCTCCTCAACTGTAACACCACCTCCACCACACCCTACTTTCACACCCCACCACCCACATTCCACCTCCGCATCTATCCACCTTCCCCCTCCTCATATCTCACCAACCCCTAATCCTCCCATCCCTCACTACCCCCCCACCCCCCCCCCAACCACCACCCCCTCCATCACCCCCCCCTCCCTCACCGCCCTTACAACCCATACCCTTCCCTCATACTCCCCCAAACCACCCCCCCCTCCCAACCCATAATTACCATTCCATTTCATTGTATTCCACCACCCCCATCCCTCCTCACAGACCACCCACGCCCACCACCCCATGTCTACAGACTTGTGTTCCCCCCCCAGCCCACCTGTCCCACTCCAACCCGAGATACAGTTCCACCTCCCCAAATTTAAAACCACCCCGACCAACCCAGTAATCCAAACCATACCCCCTCATCCTTGTCAACACCACAACACCTTTCCATCCTCCAAAACACACCCCCCCCACAACTCCTCCTAACACTCTTCCCTACCCACCAACACCACCCACCCTATACCCACCCCCCCACCACCCACTTTAAACCACCAACCACACCACACCCCCACTCCTCCATACCATCCACAAAACCACTTGACCCCAACCACCCCCACAATCCCCCCCACCTCATCAACCTCCAAACCACTTCCATACATCCCCCCCCGTGTCCCACCCCCAACACCCTACACACCCACCCCCCCTCCCATCCCCCCCTCTAACCCACCACCCCCCAATCCACCCCCCCTACACACCACATCCCCCACCTTTCCCTTCCCTTCCTTTTCTACTAAACCAACTCGGATAGCACATTGTCTCTGCTTCTGCCGCCCCTGCAGTCTAGATATGGAGAGACCCGGCTGGGGCCATGTCATGAAGCCACCCTGTGCCCTTCCCTAGTGCTCACAACAAAGAAATACATCAGAAAAAACCTTGAGGAGAATCAACAGACAAATGGCAAATCTACAAATTGATTCATATAAGAATCCTGCCGACCCACAACCTGCATGATCCAGACCACTTTGAAAACTTGGCTCTCATCATGTAGTACTCTTTGATCCAAGTTCTATATTAATCCTAATATTTCATATTCTCATCAATCTTGATCTTATTTTCCAAGTCGGAAACCCTTGCTTGACCAAAATCAGTGAACTAGCAGTTATATAGACCGCCTCACCACCAAATATTTCAAGTATAATGAATCTTGCAATACGCCTCCAAACCACAACAGTGATGAGGCTTAGCTTCATTAATAAGAGACCACTAAGTCTCCCCTAGTCAATACACCATTTGACTTAAATACAAAAATCTAATTTTACAAAACAAACACCCACCACCAAACACCCAAAACCCACCATACACAACTATACCAACACCCCACACAAACACCCACCAAAACCCCCCCCCCCCCCCCCCCTTCCACCTCCTTCCCCAGACCCCCTATAAACAATACACATAAACCTCTATATCAAACCATAATTACATCCCTCATAATAACTAAATTTAACAACAGGAGAAAAAACACTACCATATTCACAATATAGCATACCCATCCAATCCCCCAATCTCATCTAACTAACTTTCCACCAAAGTACACCCCCACCTCCCTTCACTATTACCCCACCCCACCAATCATGAGTTGGCCCCACATATTACCTTAATAATCCAATTGTATAAAAAAAACACCATTTACCCGATTTACGTAGTTGCTACCCATACCTTCTAACGTACATATATTATTATATACCTGATAAACCCCACCAAACACCCAACCCACCCAGATTACACACCTCCCTGTTACTAAGACGTCGCAAAAAAAAGAAAAACTATTTTGACACAAATTCAGTTACTTGTATCCCCTTTTAGTACTTAAGTATATCTACTTGTAGTGCAAAGTTAAAACACAGTCACCCACTATTGTATGCAACGTTATCTGTTAACCCTGTGCCCTAAGTAGCCTGTAAACAATAGTTAGCTATAAGCAGGAAGGCTCCCGTTGTGCCATATATACCTCATCACACTGACAGGGCCCAAAAGCTAAAGTGCCGGATGTTCCGATGGGAAGTGGCTGCAGGACCACCCCTCCATGTAAATCACGCGATCTCTCAAATTAAGATGTTCGAGTTTACCGGGAGTACGTAGTCCTAGCGAAATGTATTTATCTGAAATGATTGAAGGCAAGCATCACCACATCTGCGTGTTCTGTTCTCAACAGTTAATAGATTAACAAACCCCCCTGTTCAAATGCCATTAGAGCTTACTTCCAAACGTAAATGCAATGAGTTTGCTAATTTTTTTAATGACAAGGTTCAAGGCATCAAAAACGCCATTGTCTCCCATCCACAGATAACAATCCAACAGCCAGCAAGGCTCTTTGAGCTAACTCACTTTTCACCTGTAAATGATAAACTGTCCAAGAGATAATCTCCAGATTTGATACCTCCACATGCAGCTGGATGTACTACCCACTAGATTCTGAAAGTCTGTTCTGAGCAGTCTGTTACCTTCACTCACCACAGATAGTAAACATGTCCCTTCATTCTGGAATATTTCCCAAAGGCCCTGAAAACTGCAGTCATCAGGCCCTGCTAAAAAAGATGCAGTCTCGATGCTACGGTACTTAACAAACTATCGTCCCATCTCAAATCTGCCATTTATGGGAAAAGTCCTTGAGAAAGTTTGTCTACCTACAGCTTACTAGATTTCTTATAATCAACAACTCATTTGATATGTTTCAGTCCGGCCTTTAGACCCCACCACAGCACTGAGACTGCTCAAAGGCAAAGTCTCAATCTTAATCTTGTTAGATCTAAGTGCTGCCCCTTTGACCACCGTCGACCATGAGATCCTCTTACAGAGGACTAGAGGACTGTGTTGGAGTCGCTGGCACCGCCCTAAGTTGGTTTAGGTCTTACCTTGAGGACAGGAAGTACTTTGTGGAGATTGGAAACTGTGTCTCAGATCATCTGGGCCCTGACCTGTGGAGTACCACAGGGGTCGATCCTGGGACCTCTTCTGTTCAATCTCTACATGCTGCCGTTAGGTCAGTAATACGCAGAAAACAAAGTTTCCTATCATAACTATGCAGACGACACTTAGATCTATGTCTCACTGACTGCAGGAGAACATGGACCAGTGGACTCACTCCTTCACTGTATCCAACAGATCAGTGAGTGGATGTGCAAAACAACTTCCTTCAGCTAAACGCAGACAAAACTGAAATGATTGTCTTTGGTCGCCAGAAACAAAGAGAGTGCGTCATCTGTCACCTACAGTCTCTCTCCCTAAAACCTTCAAACAAGGTCAGAAATCTAGGGGTAATACTGGACTCAGACTTAAATTTTAATAGCCACATCAAATCAGTAACATCAGCAGCTTTTTACCATCTAAAAAAACATTGCCAGGATCTCAAAAACATAGTGTCTAAAGCAGACCTGGAGATTCTTATCCATGCATTTGTCTCCAGTAGGTTAGACTACTGCAATGGCCTGCTCACAGGTATGTCCAAACAGGCTGTAAAAACAGCTGCAGTACATTCAAAATGCAGCAGCTCGAGTCCTGACTAGAACCAGGAAGTACGACCACATTAGTCCTGACTAGAACACCAGGAAGTACGACCACATTAGTCCAGTCCCTCAGGTCTCTGCACTGGCTTCCTGTGGCTCAGAGAATAGACTTTAAAACAGCTCTGCTTGTGTACAAGTCTCTCCATAGCCTCGCACCAAACTATATTAGTGACATGTTAGTCCCATATGAACCAGCCCGGACTCTGAGGAGCACAGGGACAGGACTCCTGTTAGTGCCCAGAGTCAGAACTAAACATGGGGAGGCAGCTTTTCCAGATTCATGCTGCTAAAAACAGTCTTCCTGAAGATGTGAGACAGGCCTCCTCTCTGACAATGTTTAAAACCAGGTTAAAGACAGTTCTGTTTAGCTGTGCTACAACTGAGGGATTTTATATTTGAATTTTTCTTTTTATGTTTTGTGATAATTTATGATTTTAATGCTTTCTTGTTTTGTTCAGCACTTTGAATTGCTTGTGTATGAATTGTGCTATATAAATAAACTTGCCTTGCCTTGCCTTGCCATGTGTAAAAGAATCTCCTGCTGCTATGTCTTTACTTTGTTGTGATTACATTTACAAAGATAATCACATTAGTCACAGACAATAACTTTAGCACAGGTTTAAAAAGTCATCTTTAAAGCATGTGTTCATTAAACGCACCACTTCCGCGTTTTAGTTAAAATGACACTTGACTTCCTGTGCGCTGGGATTGGCTTGAGTTTCACTGGAGTTGAGATGTTTACACAAGTTTCCTAAATAATGCTTAAACAGTAATTAAACTGTGAGGATGCAGTGCATTGTGGGACACAGCAGTGCTCTGTGTTGTGCTGTCCCATTGTGCTTATCTGACGTGGAAACTATCTCTCTGAGTGGGCCACAATCCAAAGCTTACCTCCGAGGAAAAAGCAATCCCAACCACTTTTGTGGTCTAATTACTAAAAACCATCACTACAACTCACCTAAAAGCCAAAGCGCTAACACAGACAGGAAGTAAACGAGCCGTTCTTTGTTTACAGGAAATGACGTCACGCCTCCCCGTGCATTTAGACAATTGAATTGAAATGAAATTGAATTGAAATCCTTCTCACCAGCTGGTCCACGCGCTCGTACATGAGGCTCTGTTTGAAGCTGGGGGCCAGTTTCTGTGCGCTGAAGCGGTGGGGCCCCTGGAGGTCCTGGAGCTGCTGCAGACAGTGGTGGAAGTGCTGGTAGGCCTCACAACACACGTCCATCTGACGCAGGGTGAAGTTCAGCCTGGTACACACAACATGCAAGACACGACAAACAAGATTACTTGGATCTTGAACCTTAACTTTTCTATCAATATTTGTCCAAATAGTACAACGGAGTAAAGGGCACACACTTTTTAATTTGGGCCAGACACTGACTCTCTCAGCCAGACTCATCACCGTGGGACACAGAGCCTTCAGCTGTTCTGCCTCCCAGACGCACACGCACACGCACACGCACACGCACACACACACACACACACACACACACCGGTTTCCTAGGTAATGGTTGCCATAGTGATGGTTTCCTAGGTAATGGTTGCCATAGTGATGGTTTCCTAGGTAATGGTTGCCATAGTGATTGTCATAGCAACAATTGCCAATCACTCTGGTAAACCATCACTATGACAACTGTAAACAAACTCCCCAAGAAAGAAGTTGCAAGGATTTTTCATTACACAGTTTGCCATGGTGACTATTGTCATGATGATTATTTCCTGTTGCCATGGTGACTTTTGCCATAGAAACAGTTGTCATGGTGACCATTCCCATAGCAACGGTTGCCATGGTGATTATTGCTATGGCAATCACTATGGTAACAGTTGCGATGGCAACCAATTGCAACGGCAATAGTCATAGGAGCACTGTCAAAGACCGGCTTCTGTAGTACACTGGACTGCAATATATGATCTCAACGCTAGACCGGAGTAAAAAACTACAGTGTACCTTTAAATACAAATACTAATGAACACGTCCTAAAACTATATGAACTATTTCAGAATGTCCACAGAATGTCACTTTATCTACTCATCATCCTGACCTACATGTATATGTTTATTTCTTTATAACTGAGAGACCAAAGAGGACTCTAGAGAGAGACCAGAGAGAGAGACCAGAGAGAGAGACCAGAGAGAGAGACCTGAGAGAGAGAGACCAGAGAGAGAGACCAGAGAGAGAGACCAGAGAGAGAGACCTGAGAGAGAGACCAGAGAGAGAGACCTGAGAGAGAGACCTGAGAGAGAGACCTGAGAGATAGACCCTAGAAAGAGACCTGAGAGAGAGACCAGAGAGAGAGACCAGAGAGAGAGACCCTAGAGAGAGACCTGAGAGATAGACCCTAGAGAGAGACCTGAGAGAGAGACCAGAGAGAGAGACCAGAGAGAGAGACCCTAGAGAGAGACCTGAGAGAGAGAGACCAGAGAGAGACCTGAGCGAGAGAGAGACCAGAGAGAGAAAGACCAGAGAGAGAGACCAGAGAGAGAGACCGGAGAGAGAGACCGGAGAGAGAGACCAGAGAGAGAGACCCTACAGAGAGACCTGAGAGAGAGAGACCAGAGAGAGGAAGACCAGAGAGAGAGACCAGAGAGAGAGACCAGAGAGAGAGAGACCAGAGAGAGAGACCCTACAGAGAGACCTGAGAGAGAGAGACCAGAGAGAAAGACCAGAGAGAGAGACCAGAGAGAGAAACCCTACAGAGAGACCAGAGAGAGAGAGACCAGAGAGAGAAACCCTACAGAGAGACCAGAGAGAGAGAGAGACCAGAGAGAGAGACCCTACAGAGAGACCAGAGAGAGATAGAGACCAGAGAGAGAGACCAGAGAGAGAGACCAGAGAGAGAGACACCAGAGAGAGAGACCCTACAGAGAGACCAGAGAGAGAGAGACCAGAGAGAGAGACCAGAGAGAGAAACCCTACAGAGAGACCAGAGAGAGATAGAGACCAGAGAGAGAGACCAGAGAGAGAGACCAGAGAGAGAGAGACCAGAGAGAGAGACCCTACAGAGAGACCAGAGAGAGAGAGACCAGAGAGAGAGACCAGAGAGAGAAACCCTACAGAGAGACCAGAGAGAAAGACCAGAGAGAGAAACCCTACAGAGAGACCAGAGAGAGATAGAGACCAGAGAGAGAGACCAGAGAGAGAGACCAGAGAGAGAGAGACCAGAGAGAGAGACCCTACAGAGAGACCTGAGAGAGAGAGACCAGAGAGAGGAAGACCAGAGAGAGAGACCCTACAGAGAGACCTGAGAGAGAGAGACCAGAGAGAAAGACCAGAGAGAGAGACCAGAGAGAGAAACCCTACAGAGAGACCAGAGAGAGAGAGACCAGAGAGAGAGACCAGAGAGAGAGACCAGAGAGAGAAACCCTACAGAGAGACCAGAGAGAGAGAGAGACCAGAGAGAGAGACCAGAGAGAAAGAACAGAGAGAGAAACCCTACAGAGAGACCAGAGAGAGATAGAGACCAGAGAGAGAGACCAGAGAGAGACACCCTACAGAGAGACCTGAGAGAGAGAGACCAGAGAGAGGAAGACCAGAGAGAGAGACCCTACAGAGAGACCTGAGAGAGAGAGACCAGAGAGAAAGACCAGAGAGAGAGACCAGAGAGAGAAACCCTACAGAGAGACCAGAGAGAGAAACCCTACAGAGAGACCAGAGAGAGAGACCAGAGAGAAAGACCAGAGAGAGAAACCCTACAGAGAGACCAGAGAGAGATAGAGACCAGAGAGAGAGACCAGAGAGAGAGACCAGAGAGAGAGACCAGAAAGGGGGGGACAATAACACAGATCTTGTCTGACCTCTTCTCGATGGAGATGTAGACGTCGCAGCTGTGGGTGAAGCCGGAGCACAGCTGGTAGACGGTCCTGAAGAAGGCGTCTGTGAGGTCGTCATCGTAGACCACTGAGAGACACACACCACACTCTGAGAATCTACTGCACTACACCTTCAACACACACTCCAACAGTCCTGGCCCCTGACTCCGTTCCAGGGGTCTCAAACTGGTGGGATTTTGTGGCCCCTAGATCAAACTTCATTGCCAGTGCGGCCCCTACTGAGAGTCTGGTTATACATTTTACAGCTAAATTGCCTGTTTTTAGCCTTCTTTTAGCCTGTTTTTAACCCCTTTTTAGGGTGGATTTTTCATCGCTTTTATTTGTTTGTTTATGGATATTATAATAAATCATTTTTTACTTGCTTTTAAATCAGCGGTCCTTTTAAAACCAGGTCCAAAGAACTGTTTCCCACTTTCAACGTTACCATAAACATTGAAACCAGAATGCAACAAGAAAAACTTTATCAAACCCAGTCTCCACAAAGCCTTGTTGCGTTTCGTAGGGTTTTTTTTTCCAGCAGCTGAACTCATTTTGTTCAGAGAAATATAGAACTATTCTATAAAACTCATATTCAATAAAAGTCATTACAGTATTTGGTCAGCATTCCCGATTATGAAAAGTCACAGATACAAAATAATAACTAATAATAATAATTCTTGTTTTTCCTGTTCCTGTGTCTCTGTTTCGAGCCCAAAACTTTACGTTCTCTGTTAATGTCAAAAAATGAATGGATTCAGTTTGAAATGTGGCTGTTTTTTTGTATCCAGGAGCTTCAGTGCTTGTGCAAAGTAAAATAGCGTGAGCAATTTTAGTAGTTTGATTCTAGGCAAGGCAAGGCAAGTTTATTTGTTTAGCACAATTCATACACAAGGCAACTCAAAGTGCTGAACAAAATAAGAAAGCATTAAATTCATAAATAATCACAGTACATTAAAAAGAAAGATAAAAAAAAAATATAAAATCTTGTTTAGCTGTGCATACAACAGAGGAACTGTTTTCAACCTGGTTTTAAACATTGTCAGAGAGGAGGCCTGTCTCACATCTTCAGGAAGACTGTTCCAGATTTTAGCAGCATGAATCTGAAAAGCAGCCTCCCCATGTTTAGTCCTGACTCTGGGCACTAACAGGAGTCCAGTCCCTGTGCTCCTCAGAGTCCGGGCTGGTTCATATGGTACTAACATGTCACTAATATATTTTGGTGCGAGGCCATGGAGAGACTTGTAACAAGCAGAGCTGTTTTAAAGTCTATTCTCTGAGCCACAGGAAGCCAGTGCAGAGACCTGAGGACTGGACTAATAGGGCACTGTCAGGTTTCCGAAATGTGCTAAAAATAGCTCCGGTGACTGCGCATGTTTCGGACAAACATTGTGTCCGACAAACATTGTGTCCGACTCCGTTGAGTACTACTGTGTTCTCCACATACTTACTATTTATACTATTATACTATTTATTTGGGCTAAATCATTGAATCATGGTGACAACAAAACACTGCAGTTATGGTGCTTGTCGGAGCGATTTCAGATACTCTGAAAAGGACTATATGAAAGCAGTAACATTCAACCTGTTCGTTAAACCACACCATCGGACCAGACCAGGACCAGATCTGACCAGATCAGACCAGGACCAGACCAGGACCAGACAAGGACAAGTGCTTGTGGTCGGCAGAATTTTTCTCATGAAAATGTTAAAAAGAACTCATATTTGTTCAAAACACTTGGTCTGTAAAGCTGGACCAACTGTGGAGCCTCCAGATCCAGTCCTAGCTACGTTTAGCTGGGACTGGACCTGGACCGCTGTATCAGGTCCGTCTGAGCTCTTCTGAATGTAGTTAGCACAAACTTTCTCTTTATACCATTTACCCCCATCAATCCATATTAGTATTGTTTGTCCTAATCCAGAAAGTTTACAATTCTCACACCTGAAGAAAGATGAGAGGGATTTTTCAACTTCGTGACTATCGGAAAATAAGTACAGACGAAGCGCGTCGGGTCCGCTTATTATACGGCTTTGTACCAACTGAACACACAGAATAAACTTCAGTCACTTTTATTACTGCCGAAAGGTTTATTTAATGAGTGCAAAGAAAATAGTTCCCAAAGGTTTTCCCGTGGCAGGCGAGTAACAGTGAGGCTGGTTCACCTACTTCAAAAAAGCGATCGCTTTAGTCGCATTAAAAAAGTATTTTTGTCATGAAAACCTGAACAGATCATTCTGAAAACCTCTGTGCACTTGTGTTACGACTGTATGTATAATATATTCTCCCATTAACATTTAAATGTGTTGATTGATTGTCATTTGCGTTTATTGAGTGTGGCTCCGATAGTTTCTCTCAGAGACAGTAGTGACGTAGCCCGTTGTGACCCATGGATCTATTATAATATCATCTGACAGTAGCTAACTATATGATCAAACTAATTACAAAATACAAAAAACAAAAAACAACTTGATAAATGGAAGTTAATCACAGCAAAATAAACAAAGAAGGCGCTAGCATTGCTATTTAAATGACAGGATAATGTTGGCATAATCCTCACCATTACCTTTTTATCAACTCAAACTTTCTACCAGTTACAGACCACGACATTCAAGCCAACGTTTTAACTGGTCTACACTATGGTCCTGATGGTTTGATGGTGGAATTTTGCGTGGTTTTTTAAGTGGTATTTGATTCATTTCGGCGGTGTTTGTCCGAGACATGTGGGCGGGAGCTGCTGATGTTACTGATTTGATGCAGCTATTCCAATTTAAGTCTGAGTCCAGTATTACCCCTAGATTTCTGACTTTGTTTGAAGGTTTCTATGTTCATATATTCTTCACACACACAAACACGTGAAAAACATTACCCTGACTCGACCTCATGTAGCCCCCAGATTTACTGAGTTTGAGACCCATGAACTACTCACTGTTTGGAATACTTAGCACATCTACTTTATTTGGTTTCATCATCAATAAATGAAAACATGTTTTTAAAGCTGGGATCCCTAACTGTAAAGTGCATCAAAAGAAATAGTTTCTAGTTTACACATGCATGTACCTTTTGGCCTTTTTATGAGCATTTTCACTGGTAAAAGTGAAAAAGAGACCAGTATCTTCCTTCCCTGCTGCCGCTGAAGCCTGTGGGCGTCAGTGCGATATGTGTTTGAATATTAGTGACGTGGATCAAACGTACCGTCTGCAGCGAGGATGAGCGTGGTGTGGTCGTACAGGTCACACACTTCCTCCTCGCTCCAGCTGAACTCCTGCTCTGGGTCTGCAAAACACACACAGAGTCATCAAGGAGCTGGACTTTACAAACTGTCACTATTAATACTTTTCTAGGACTTCTACAGTGGAGGTGGGGTGCTTCAAAGTAGTTCCTGCAGAGGCTGTATCTGTACAGGATGCGACCTGGGGCATGGATCTGTCATAATAACTGCATAGGGTATTACTAGCTTATAGCTGATGCACCCATGGGCACGGGCCCCTGCGGTACAGGAGACTAAGTAAGACTAAATTCACCATAGAACTCATTGTAAACTAAAACAGCTCCTCCACACTTTAGTGCCACAAACTCTGCTTGTTTTCTTCCCGCTCTGATCAGCTGTTCTGATTGGCCAAAACGCTGCTGTGCTCCTCTGTGCAGGTGCAAAAGAGACACACATGCGTATTTGTTAGTGTTTGGCGCAAAGCATCATGGGAGATCGTCGACTGTGCAAAACAGGAAGGACCAGAGAAATGTCCAAATATGAATGGGCTCCGCTAATCTTCCGGTGTCCATGGTCCCGTCATGCACCACTGAGCACAAGCCATGGATTTGAATACGCCGCCATCTTTGAGGCAACATTTAGTTTTGTTTTGTGCACTTTATTTTGAGAATCAAAACATTTTATTTGAAAGAGTAAATGCTTCTAATCTAGAGGTCTTTAGGCCTGAGCGTGAACGGTTTTGCCTTTGCTCCTCGTGTTGTTAAAGCCTGAAGAGGAGACGACAGACTGCATCCTGTAGAAGATGTTTACTGTCAATTGTTTATTCATGTTTGAGTTTGGTTTGTATCCATCAGACTTTATCCATGTGGGCGGGGCACACTGCTCAAATAAACTCAAACTCAACTACTATTGTGTGCTCTTACTACTGTCCTGTCTGTGCGCTGCAACATTGGAATTTCCCGACTGTGGGAAGAATAAAGGTTGTGTTCTCCTGTCTTCACCTGTGCAGAGGTCACGCTCCGTCCAGTCCAACTTCCTCACCAGCACCTCTCCTCCTGACAACACACACAGGTCAGAGAGAGACCAGAGAGAGACCAGAGAGAGACCAGAGAGAGAGACCAGAGAGAGAGACCAGAGAGAGAGACCAGAGAGAGACCAGAGAGACCAGAGAGACCAGAGAGAGACCAGGGAGAGACCAGAGAGAGACCAGAGAGAGAGACCAGAGAGAGACCAGAGAGAGACCAGAGAGACCAGAGAGAGACCAGGGAGAGACCAGAGAGAGACCAGAGAGAGAGACCAGAGAGAGACCAGGGAGAGACCAGAGAGACCAGAGAGAGACCAGGGAGAGACCAGGGAGAGAGAGAGACCAGAGAGAGACCAGGGAGAGACCAGAGAGACCAGCGAGAGACCAGAGAGAGACCAGAGAGAGGCCAGAGAGAGAGAGACCAGAGAGAGACCAGGGAGAGACCAGAGAGAGAGACCAGAGAGAGACCAGGGAGAGACCAGAGAGAGACCAGGGAGAGACCAGAGAGACCAGAGAGAGACCAGAGAGGAGACCAGAGAGACCAGAGAGAGACCAGAGAGAGACCAGAGAGAGACCAGAGAGAGACCAGAGAGAGACCAGAGAGAGACCCAGAGACCGAGACCAGAGAGAGAGAGACCAGAGAGAGAGAGACCAGAGAGAGGCCAGGGAGAGACCAGAGAGAGAGAGACCAAGGAGAGGCCAGAGAGACCAGTGAAAGACCGGAGAGAGAGACCAGAGAGAGACCAGAGAGAGAGAGACCAGAGAGACCAGAGAGAGAGAGACCAGAGAGAGAGAGACCAGAGAGAGAGACCAGAGAGAGAGACCGGAGAGAGAGACCAGAGAGAGACCAGAGAGAGACCAGAGAGAGAGACCAGAGAGAGACCAGAGAGAGACCAGAGACCGAGACCAGAGACCGAGACCAGAGAGAGAGAGACCAGAGAGAGACCAGAGAGACCAGAGAGAGACCAGGGAGAGACCAGAGAGAGAGACCAGAGAGAGACCAGGGAGAGACCAGAGAGAGACCAGAGAGAGAGACCAGGGAGAGACCAGAGAGACCAGAGAGAGACCAGAGAGAGACCAGAGAGACCAGAGAGAGACCAGAGAGAGACCAGAGAGAGACCAGAGAGAGACCAGAGACCGAGACCAGAGACCGAGACCAGAGAGAGAGAGACCAGAGAGAGAGAGACCAGAGAGAGGCCAGGGAGAGACCAGAGAGAGAGAGACCAAGGAGAGGCCAGAGAGACCAGTGAAAGACCGGAGAGAGAGACCAGAGAGAGACCAGAGAGAGAGAGACCAGAGAGAAAGAGACCAGAGAGAGAGACCAGAGAGAGAGACCGGAGAGAGAGACCAGAGAGAGACCAGAGAGAGAGACCAGAGAGAGACCAGAGAGAGACCAGAGACCGAGACCAGAGACCGAGACCAGAGAGAGAGAGACCAGAGAGAGAGAGACCAGAGAGAGGCCAGGGAGAGACCAGAGAGAGAGAGACCAAGGAGAGGCCAGAGAGACCAGTGAAAGACTGGAGAGAGAGACCAGAGAGAGAGAGACCAGAGAGACCAGAGAGAGAGAGACCAGAGAGAGAGACCAGAGAGAGAGAGACCAGAGAGAGGCCAGTGAAAGACCGGAGAGAGAGACCAGAGAGAGACCAGAGAGAGAGAGACCAGAGAGAGACCGGAGAGAGACCAGGGAGAGAACAGAGAGAGAGACCAGAGAGAGAGACCAGAGAGAGAGACCAGAGAGAGAGAGACCAGAGAGACCAGAGAGAGAGAGACCAGAGAGAGAGACCAGAGAGAGACCAGAGAGAGAGACCAGAGAGAGACCAGAGAGAGACCAGAGAGAGGCCAGGGAGAGAACAGAGAGAGACCAGAGAGAGAGCAGAGAGAGACCAGTGAAAGACCAGAGAAAGACCAGAGAGAGACCAGGGAGAGACCAGAGAGAGACCAGGGAGAGACCAAGGAGAGGCCAGAGAGAGACCAGAGAGAGACCAGAGAGAGAGACCAGAGAGAGAGACCAGAGAGAGAGACCACTGAAAGAACAGAGAAAGACCAGAGAAAGACCAGAGAGAGACCAGGGAGAGACCAGAGAGAGACCAGAGAGAGACCAGATAGAGACCAGAGAGAGAGGCCAGAGAGAGACCAGGGAGAGACCAGGGAGAAAGACCAGAGAGAGACCAAGGAGAGACCAGAGAGAGACCAGGGAGGGACCAGAGAGAGAGACCAGAGAGAGACCAGAGAGAGACCAGAGAGAGACCAGAGAGAGAGAGACCAGAGAGAGACCGGAGAGAGACCAGGGAGAGAACAGAGAGAGAGACCAGAGAGAGAGACCAGAGAGAGAGACCAGAGAGAGACCAGAGAGAGGCCAGGGAGAGAACAGAGAGAGACCAGAGAGAGAGCAGAGAGAGACCAGTGAAAGACCAGAGAAAGACCAGAGAGAGACCAGGGAGAGACCAGAGAGAGACCAGAGAGAGAGACCAGAGAGAGGCCAGGGAGAGACCAGAGAGAGACCAGGGAGAGACCAAGGAGAGGCCAGAGAGAGACCAGGGGAGACCAGAGAGAGACCAGGGAGAGACCAAGGAGAGGCCAGGGAGAGACCAGGGAGAGACCAGAGAGAGACCAGGGAGGGACCAGAGAGAGAGACCAGGGAGAGACCAGAGAGAGACCAGAGAGAGAGACCAGAGAGAGGCCAGGGAGAGACCAGAGAGAGACCAGGGAGAGACCAAGGAGAGGCCAGAGAGAGACCAGAGAGAGACCAGAGAGAGAGACCAGAGAGAGAGACCAGAGAGAGACCAGGGAGAGAGACCAGAGAGAGAGACCAGAGAGAGACCACTGAAAGAACAGAGAAAGACCAGAGAAAGACCAGAGAGAGACCAGGGAGAGACCAGAGAGAGACCAGAGAGAGACCAGATAGAGACCAGATAGAGACCAGAGAGAGAGGCCAGAGAGAGACCAGGGAGAGACCAGGGAGAAAGACCAGAGAGAGACCAAGGAGAGGCCAGGGAGAGACCAGGGAGAGACCAGAGAGAGACCAGGGAGGGACCAGAGAGAGAGACCAGAGAGAGACCAGGGAGGGACCAGAGCTCACCGCTGCGCTCCATCAGGTCTTTGTTCAGCGACACGTTCGTTCTGCACATGCTCAGAACGTCCTCCCCCACATCTGCACACAGGACACAGGTTACAGTAGGACCAGAGGGACAAAGGGGGAGACAGGAGAGAGACAGGGGGGAGACAGGAGAGAGACAGGGGGGAGACAAGAGGGAGACAGGGGGGAGACAGGAGAGAGACAGGGGGGAGACAGGCTGAGACAGGGGGGAGACAGGGGGAGGTCAGGGTGTGTGACTGACCGCTGCAGTAGACTCTCTTGGCCACAGACGCAGTGATGATGCTGCTGAGCCCTGTGCCCGCTCCCAGCTCCAGCACTGTGGCCCCTTTGAAGACCCCGGGGCCCGCCAGGACAAAGTCTGCCAGCAGTAAGGCCCCACGCCACACCTGCACACACACACACACACACACTTTATTGGAGTTGTTATTGACCAAGAACTCTCCTCTCACATATAAATCAAGCTAATAAAAACAACATATTTCCACATTCTTAATATTAATTAGAATCCCCTAGCACTAAAAACTGAAAAAGTGGAATATTTTTGCATACAGACAAAACAAAAGCAGTGCCGACGCTGTGCTTAAACTCAGACTCTTGGACTGAAGTAAACCTTTCTCTACAAGTTTGTCAGTTCTCTAGTCCCAGGTAGAGTCGTCTGCGATCTGCCAGTGCAGGTCATGCATGTGAATACTGAGGATACATTTCAACATCTACAAACTCCTCTAAACTCCTGCAGACGTAGCACAGTCAGGACTATCCCAGCAGGACCTGGGTTTGGGGCAGTGCCAAAGGGAAAGTGAAGGTCCAGCCCACTCACCTGTTTGCCCACATCCTCCAGCAGAGTGGCCATGGTGTGTTCTGGGAAGAGAAGCAGAATTCACGCTGAGGAGGATTAGATATGTATAATAAATATGTTATATTTACCACTATGTAGCGCAGCAGAAAGTACATCCTCACCTATCCTGATGACCTGTGCAGACTGACAGCTGTCCTCTCCTGGGTCTTGGGGGTCCTCTGGGTCCTCTGGTTCTTCAGGCTCTTGGGGGTCCGTCTGACTCAGCAGCACCGGACACACCTCTTCTCGACCGCAGTCAGACTCAGAGAACCTCTGGGGCCTGGACACACAGTCACAGCCTTCACACTTTGCTTACAGACACAGGTGGCTACATGTGGCTCTAAGATCGACCACGTTCAAACAAACAAAGGCTCGATATATGGATAGAGATAGATACTTTTCATCCCCAGTCAGAGAAATGCAGGTGTCTAGCAGCAGAAACACATCCATTCATACAAACAAATAAATACATCATTCTAAAAGTCACTAAAAACACATAAATAGAGTCCATATCATAAATTAGTCTTTTAAGTTGTATTACAGTAGAGTCTTTTTCACAATATTCAAATTATCTGAGATTTCACCTCAGTGCTTCTCTATCTCTAATGATTACAAACAACAGTTATTGAGAAAAGGCAGGTTCATTATGTGGCCACAATTATCCCATTAGGACCCAGCACTCTATAACTACTACTTTCAAATCGTGGTCCCAGATAGAGCTGAACGTGGCCTGAGCGCGATCCAGGATCCAATGAGACCCAACGGCTCGAGCTGGGACTAAATTATACGATTCCACTCAGTCCGGATATGTCCAGCAATTAAGCCAAAATGCGATTTTTTGATTCTATCTGATAATAAACCGCACCAGAACAGAACAAACATTAATATGCCTAAAACTAAGCAAAATTTGCCTCTTTTCATTTGTATTGGCCCAATTCAGTGATTATATCCTTACAGGCACGTACAGAGAGAGGTGCCCATGGTCTCCCAAGATGTCTGCTCCTGGTCTCCAAGATGTCGGCTCCTGGTCTCATGGTCTCCAAGATGTCTGCTCCTGGTCTCATGGTCTCCAAGATGTCTGCTCCTGGTCTCCAAGATGTCGGCTCCTGGTCTCCAAGATGTCTGCTCCTGGTCTCAAAGATGTCTGCTCCTGGTCTCCAAGATGTCGGCTCCTGGTCTCCAAGATGTCGGCTCCTGGTCTCCAAGATGTCGGCTCCTGGTCTCCAAGATGTCTGCTCCTGGTCTCCAAGATGTCTGCTCCTGGTCTCAAAGATGTCTGCTCCTGGTCTCAAAGATGTCGGCTCCTGGTCTCAAAGATGTCGGCTCCTGGTCTCCAAGATGTCTGCTCCTGGTCTCCAAGATGTCTGCTTCAAGTTTCCAAGATGTCTGCTCCTGGTCTCAAAGATGTCGGCTCCTGGTCTCAAAGATGTCGGCTCCTGGTCTCAAAGATGTCTGCTCCTGGTCTCATGGTCTCCAAGATGTCTGCTCCTGGTCTCCAAGATGTCTGCTCCTGGTCTCAAAGATGTCTGCTCCTGGTCTCATGGTCTCCAAGATGTCTGCTCCTGGTCTCCAAGATGTCTGCTCCTGGTCTCAAAGATGTCGGCTCCTGGTCTCCAAAATGTCTGCTCCTGGTCTCAAAGATGTCTGCTCCTGGTCTCATGGTCTCCAAGATGTCTGCTCCTGGTCTCCAAGATGTCTGCTCCTGGTCTCAAAGATGTCTGCTCCTGGTCTCATGGTCTCCAAGATGTCTGCTCCTGGTCTCCAAGATGTCTGCTCCTGGTCTCAAGATGTCTGCTCCTGGTCTCCAAGATGTCTGCTCCTGGTCTCAAAGATGTCTGCTCCTGGTCTCAAAGATGTCGGCTCCTGGTCTCAAAGATGTCGGCTCCTGGTCTCCAAGATGTCTGCTCCTGGTCTCAAGATGTCTGCTCGTTCCAAGATGTCTGCTCCTGGTCTCAAAGATGTCGCTCCTGGTCTCAAAGATGTCGCTCCTGGTCTCAAGATGTCTGCTCCTGGTCTCCAAGATGTCTGCTCCTGGTCTCAAAGATGTCTGCTCCTGGTCTCCAAGATGTCTGCTCCTGGTCTCCAAGATGTCTGCTCCTGGTCTCAAAGATGTCGGCTCCTGGTCTCCAAGATGTCTGCTCCTGGTCTCCAAGATGTCTGCTCCTGGTCTCCAAGATGTCTGCTCCTGGTCTCAAAGATGTCTGCTCCTGGTCTCCAAGATGTCTGCTCCTGGTCTCCAAGATGTCTGCTCCTGGTCTCAAAGATGTCGGCTCCTGGTCTCAAAGATGTCGGCTCCTGGTCTCCAAGATGTCTGCTCCTGGTCTCAAAGATGTCGGCTCCTGGTCTCCAAGATGTCTGCTCCTGGTCTCCAAGATGTCTGCTCCTGGTCTCCAAGATGTCTGCTCCTGGTCTCCAAGATGTCGGCTCCTGGTCTCCAAGATGTCTGCTCCTGGTCTCCAAGATGTCTGCTCCTGGTCTCAAAGATGTCTGCTCCTGGTCTCCAAGATGTCTGCTCCTGGTCTCCAAGATGTCTGCTCCTGGTCTCCAAGATGTCTGCTCCTGGTCTCAAAGATGTCGGCTCCTGGTCTCCAAGATGTCTGCTCCTGGTCTCAAAGATGTCGGCTCCTGGTCTCAAAGATGTCGGCTCCTGGTCTCAAGATGTCGGCTCCTGGTCTCCAAGATGTCTGCTCCTGGTCTCCAAGATGTCTGCTCCTGGTCTCAAAGATGTCGGCTCCTGGTCTCAAAGATGTCGGCTCCTGGTCTCCAAGATGTCGGCTCCTGGTCTCCAAGATGTCTGCTCCTGGTCTCCAAGATGTCGGCTCCTGGTCTCCAAGATGTCGGCTCCTGGTCTCCAAGATGTCTGCTCCTGGTCTCCAAGATGTCTGCTCCTGGTCTCCAAGATGTCGGCTCCTGGTCTCCAAGATGTCTGCTCCTGGTCTCCAAGATGTCTGCTCCTGGTCTCAAAGATGTCTGCTCCTGGTCTCCAAGATGTCTGCTCCTGGTCTCCAAGATGTCTGCTCCTGGTCTCCAAGATGTCTGCTCCTGGTCTCAAAGATGTCTGCTCCTGGTCTCCAAGATGTCCGCTTCAAGATCCCAAGATGTCTGCTTCAAGTTTCCAAGATGTCTGCTCCTGGTCTCCAAGATGTCTGCTCCTGGTCTCCAAGATGTCCGCTTCAAGATCCCAAGATGTCTGCTTCAGGTTTCCAAGATGTCTCCTTCAGGTTTCCAAGATGTCCACTTCAAGTTCCCAAGATGTCTGCCCATTCAGATCGATGCCCTGTGCTCATTGGCTCACACTCACACCATGGACGTCCCAAACATTAGCAGAAGGGACGTGTTCTGGCCAGCTCTGGTTGTTCCTGGTCTTGTGCAGTGGTTCTACTTCTGCAGGACCACGTAAGCGTTCCGACCAATCAGAGCGCAGCTGATCCGAGCGGAGGTAAAGTGGGACGAGAGCGAGCTGAGGTGTTGCACAAAAGTGTTGATTCATAGAAAACCCACTTCAGGAAAAGAAGGGCAGCAACGGGTGCTAAAATCCCCACAACACTTGAACTTTGTGAAAGCTGTGGTTCCCCTTCAGCTGCAGCTACACAATCCACAGGATGAACAAGAAAATATGAATACCGTGTTAACTCCAAGTCTCCGTCCTCGTCCAGCAGAGGGCTCTGGTTCTCCTCTGGGGCCCCTACAGTCTCCAGGGCCTCTCCAGTCCCTCCCTCCTCGCTGCTCTCCGACTCCTCAGTCTGGTCCTGGTCCTGGTCCTGGTCATGAGACAGGATCCGGAACTTGGACACAAACACTGGAGACCAGAAAGGTGGAAAGGAGATGGAAAACTATATTATGTTTTTAGAGAAAACTGTATTGAGCATCTTTACTAGAGAGGAATCCACACATTTTAGAACGGTTTTTTAAATGAAAAATGAAAATGTTTGGAACAGAACAGATGCAACAGAAGATTGAGATCTGCCACAGGGCCCTGGTTTGACCCCCACACAGAACATGGACATTTTGGAGTGCAGTTTTGTTGTTGTTGAATATTATACATTTTAGTAGCAATATTAAGACATAATTATTATTACTTGCTGCTGGTAGAAGAAGAGAGACAGCTGGTAGAGGAAGAGAGACAGCTGGTAGAGGAAGAGAGACAGCTGGTAGAGGAAGAGAGACAGCTGGTAGAGGAAGAGAGACAGCTGGTAGAGGAAGAGAGACAGCTGGTAGAAGAAGAGAGACAGCTGGTAGAAGAAGAGAGACAGCTGGTAGAAGAAGAGAGACAGCTGGTAGAAGAAGAGAGACAGCTGGTAGAAGAAGAGAGACAGCTGGTAGAAGAAGAGAGACAGCTGGTAGAGGAAGAGAGACAGCTGGTAGAGGAAGAGAGACAGCTGGTAGAAGAAGAGAGACAGCTGGTAGAAGAAGAGAGACAGCTGGTAGAAGAAGAGAGACAGCTGGTAGAAGAAGAGAGACAGCTGGTAGAGGAAGAGAGACAGCTGGTAGAAGAAGAGAGACAGCTGGTAGAAGAAGAGAGACAGCTGGTAGAAGAAGAGAGACAGCTGGTAGAAGAAGAGAGACAGCTGGTAGAAGAAGAGAGACAGCTGGTAGAAGAAGAGAGACAGCTGGTAGAAGAAGAGAGACAGCTGGGTAGAGGAAGAGAGACAGCTGGTAGAAGAAGAGAGACAGCTGGTAGAAGAAGAGAGACAGCTGGTAGAAGAAGAGAGACAGCTGGTAGAAGAAGAGAGACAGCTGGTAGAAGAAGAGAGACAGCTGGTAGAGGAAGAGAGACAGCTGGTAGAAGAAGAGAGACAGCTGGTAGAAGAAGAGAGACAGCTGGTAGAAGAAGAGAGACAGCTGGTAGAAGAAGAGAGACAGCTGGTAGAAGAAGAGAGACAGCTGGTAGAAGAAGAGAGACAGCTGGTAGAAGAAGAGAGACAGCTGGTAGAAGAAGAGAGACAGCTGGTAGAAGAAGAGAGACAGCTGGTAGAAGAAGAGAGACAGCTGGTAGAAGAAGAGAGACAGCTGGTAGAAGAAGAGAGACAGCTGGTAGAAGAAGAGAGACAGCTGGTAGAAGAAGAGAGACAGCTGGTAGAAGAAGAGAGACAGCTGGCAGAGGAAGAGAGACAGCTGGTAGAAGAAGAGAGACAGCTGGTAGAGGAAGAGAGACAGCTGGTAGAGGAAGAGAGACAGCTGGTAGAAGAAGAGAGACAGCTGGTAGAAGAAGAGAGACAGCTGGTAGAAGAAGAGAGACAGCTGGTAGAAGAAGAGAGACAGCTGGTAGAAGAAGAGAGACAGCTGGTAGAAGAAGAGAGACAGCTGGTAGAAGAAGAGAGACAGCTGGTAGAAGAAGAGAGACAGCTGGTAGAAGAAGAGAGACAGCTGGTAGAAGAAGAGAGACAGCTGGTAGAAGAAGAGAGACAGCTGGTAGAAGAAGAGAGACAGCTGGTAGAAGAAGAGAGACAGCTGGTAGAAGAAGAGAGACAGCTGGTAGAAGAAGAGAGACAGCTGGTAGAAGAAGAGAGACAGCTGGTAGAGGAAGAGAGACAGCTGGTAGAGGAAGAGAGACAGCTGGTAGAGGAAGAGAGACAGCTGGTAGAGGAAGAGAGACAGCTGGTAGAGGAAGAGAGACAGCTGGTAGAGGAAGAGAGACAGCTGGTAGAGGAAGAGAGACAGCTGGTAGAGGAAGAGAGACAGCTGGTAGAAGAAGAGAGACAGCTGGTAGAGGAAGAGAGACAGCTGGTAGAAGAAGAGAGACAGCTGGTAGAAGAAGAGAGACAGCTGGTAGAAGAAGAGAGACAGCTGGTAGAAGAAGAGAGACAGCTGGTAGAAGAAGAGAGACAGCTGGTAGAGGAAGAGAGACAGCTGGTAGAGGAAGAGAGACAGCTGGTAGAGGAAGTACCTGGTTGTCCCGCTCGGTTGAGGCGGCGCATGAGGCGGTTTGTGCGCGGCTGCAGCATGTGGACGTCTGAGAGCACAGAGTCGTACTGGAACACCACACTGTCCATGTGGTCTCTGCACTGAGGACACAACAACACACACAGTCACACACACTGTCACACACTGCAACACACACTGTCACACACAGCAACACACACTGTCACACACACTGTCACACACTGCAACACACAGCAACACACACTGCAACACACACCGTCACACACAGCAACACACACTGTCACACACAGCAACACACACGTCACATAAAACAACACACACCGTCACACACTATCACACACAGCAACACACACTGTCACACACACATCACACACTGTCACACACACATAGCAACACACACCATCACACAAAACAACACACATGTCACACACTGTCACACACTGCATTCATTTAACTATTATAGATATAAATCTATCCTTTATGTCCAGGTCGTGTCCGCCATTTTGCTCATTTTGCAAAATAAATGTGATGTGATCAGAACCGGACCCTGATGACCACAGGCCGCATGTCAAGGTCAGTTTCTCTGAGAAATATGAATATTACTCTAAACCTTTGTATTTGAGGTACACTTTAATGGATTACACCCACAATGGAACTATTTATGTTATATATTTATATTTTCAGTTGGATAATGACATATATCCTCACGTACACTCACAGTGTGCATTATGTGTGGTATAGGATTTGCTTTTGTATCAACTGCATCGAAATGTGATCACAGTGGGAGTATTAATGACAAATTCTGTTTTACTTTCTCTGTAGTTATCGCAGGAGAAAGGGAAAGATAGAAAGCGAAAGCAGGAGAAGATGAGGGAGACATGCAAAGAAAACCAGGACATACAGGAGGGAAAAAACACCCCCCTCAGAACCCCTCAGCAGATCCTGAGCCCCTTCAGCACCATCACTATGATCGGCCAGTCATGGAGAGACCACAAGCAGCCTAAACTCCAGCAAAAAGTCAAAATGGAGGAAAAATGTATTACATCAGGTCTGTTTTAAGAGTGAGGTCTGCAGACTTAAAAAGGCGCTTCAGGCAGCCACCCAGCAATCCTGAACGCTGCAGGCAAAACTGGAGAAGCCAGAAGTAAGATCAGAAGAGAAGAAAAATAAAGAGAAAAAGAAGCTCTTCCAACTGAGAAGAGAAGAAGAAGCCATATTACTGTGCAGAGACGAGAACAGCCGCATACTTTCAGGGAAAGAGGACTTTGTCAACAGGAATAGAGTCAGAGAACAAAGAATAACTGCTAGACTCCGAGTACTTCAAAAACTATCTTACCGGCAGTTTGTGAGAATTGTCACACCAGCAAATCCGACTTGTGCCAATCTGGACCAGGAGAATGTTAAATTGCTAATAGATAGATTTCCAAAGGGACTGCTTTTTACTAAGAGCATGTTGACTTTCTCACGTTGATTGTATGTGGCACAAGAAGAGCTGCATCTGTCGCACATGTCCAGTTCATTGGACCCTCTTGAGGATGGACGGTAACATCATATCAGCGTTCCAGGATCACCACTGTCCGACACGACAAAACGTTCTCCAACTTTGCCCCCTTTCTTGTTCAACAAAATCTGGATTCTCTTGTGGAGCACTGGTTCAGCTGGCTTCACCAAAACACAACTTTCAGAGAGCTGAAAGACTCGCTGACTGAGAAGGAGGTCTGTATTCATGTTGACCTCTCTGAAAATGGTGGCTGTAAACTTGGACAGGAAGTACCATCCTTTTACTTTGGTGGGAGCCGTAAGCAAGTAGCCTCTGTACCTTATGCTCCTCTCTGCCTGTACCCGCCATGACGGACGAGGGGTCTATGGAACCCGTCATCCCAGATGTCATTGGAAAGTCCAACACACTGAAACGTTTCATGTCATTAGTGATGAGCCAGCCAATACAGGAATAAAAATAACTTCTAACTCCTGAGCACAATACCATCTCAGTCTGGCTTTAACAATTCACCTGGAATTTCAGTAACAATCTCAGTGAAAGGGAGCGGCTGATGATTCAGATTCAGATTCATTTATTGGCCATGTGCAGTATAAAAACTACATTGGAATACATTTGCAAAAAAAGGTACTCTGTGTGCACCGACAGAATAAAAAGCACGATACAATGTAATATAAAATTTATTTATTTATTTATTTATTCATTCCGAGCAAGTAAGCGGGCATAGAAATAATTAGTTCAAGCAACTTAGGTACATGTACAAAATATAACAAAGGGGTAATAACAAAAAGAGAGAGTGATACTAACATAACACTTATGGATGCTCGAAAAGGAGTGGGAAGAAGTGAACACTTATTTAATCCCACCCCTAATTACTTCAGTCATTACAAGGGTAAAGTAAAGTAAAGGCTCCGGTTTTAGCTTCAACGTAAATTTAGCACAGATATCAAAATCTTAAACATATTGTTCATAAGCAAAATGAGTTATTGAAAATGTCATCAGGGACAAATGTAAAAAATAATAATAAAAAAATAAAAAGAAACTACATGCAAAAACAATTTAAAAAAAGAAATACCAACAATGGTAATGAACAGCAAATACCAGCAATGGTAAGGAAACATACTCCAAAATGTATTAACAAGAGCAAGTACATGCCAACATGAGTCGAGGGAAAAGAAGAGAAATACATTCAAGTCATAATCTCTCTGTATTCGGACCAGACATTGTTTTTATATAATGTCTTAAATCTGTGAATATCTTGGCATTGCATTAATTGAGGATCCAAAGCATTCCACAGTTTGACACCACACACAGTCACACAGAAACTTTTACGGGTAGATCGAAATTTGGGAAGTGTAAAATGTCCAAGACCTCTTAGATTATAGTTTTTTTCTTTAGGCACAAAATATGTTTGTATGTTATGAGGTAACAATTTGTGAAATGCCTTGAATAACATGATGGCGGTGTTAAATTTTACAAGGTCTGGGAATTTTAGTATTTTAGATTTAAGAAAAAGTTTGTGAGTGTGATGCAAGTAGCTTGTTTTATGAATGATCCGCACAGCTCGTTTCTGCAATAAGAATAAGGGTGTTGTTGAACATTGGTAGTTGTTACCCCACACCTCAACACAGTATGTTAGGTAGGGTAATACCAATGAACAATATAGTGTGTGTAGTGCATGAAAATCAAGATAATGTTTCACTTTATTCATGATTGATATGTTTTTAGCTATTTTTGTCGTCACATAACTTATATGGGCTTTCCATGACAATTTGTTATCCATGATTACACCTAGGAATTTATTTTCAGCAACATTTTCAATTTCAACTCCATCAATATTAATTTTAAACTCTGTATTTTTCTTTGCATAACCGAAAATCATTGCCTTTGTTTTATTTAGGTTCAGGGACAGTTTGTTGGCATCCATCCATGTTTTTATTTTGGTCAGTTCAACATCCACAGTATCAATAAGTTGTTTGCAGTCAGGACTACTACAAAAAATGCTAGTGTCATCCGCAAAAAGAACTAGTTTTAGTGACTGCGATACTTCGAATATGTCATTGATATAGAGGTTAAACAGCATGGGACCCAACACTGACCCCTGGGGGACACCACAAGTAATGCCAAGATTTTCAGAGACATGATCCCCCCATGTGAACAAACTGTACTCTACCAGTTAAATAATCACAGAGCCATTCTCCAGCGACACCCCTGATACCATATTTTTGTAATTTATCCAGCAGCATTGAGTGATTTATTGTATCAAAGGCTTTTTTTAAGTCGATAAAGATTCCTATAGTGTGTAATTTCTGATCCAAAGAATTTGTTATTTCTTCTATTGCTTCAGTTATGGCCATTGAAGTGGTTCTTTTTCCTCTGAATCCATACTGACTGTTGTTTAAGAGGTCATGTTTGTCAACAAATGTTTCCAACCGAGAGATGAAAATTCTTTCCAAAACTTTTGAGAACTGTGGTAATAGAGAGATAGGTCTGTAATTTGTGAAACAGTGTTTATTTCCATTTTTAAATACTGGTATGACTTTAGCTATTTTCATCTTATTTGGGAAACATCCAGACTGGAGAGAGAGATTGCATATATGAGTTAAGGGTTTGACAATATTGTTTATTACATTTTTCACAAGTGCCATGTCAATACCGTGACAATCTGTGGAGAATTTGTTTTTTAATTTAAGAACAACTTCCTTTACTTCATGTTCATTGGTTGCAACAAGAAACATTGAATGAGGATTAAGTGAAATTGGATTGATACTTAGGCTATTACTTTCATTAGAGATATTGTCGGAAAGCTGTGGACCAATGTTTACAAAAAAACTGTTAAAACCATTTACTATGTTGTTAATATTATGCTTATCACCATCGATGTCATCGAAGTAATCTGGATACACTTTTCTTGTTGATCCTTGTTTTATTAGTCCATTTAGTATGTCCCAGGTTTTCTTTATATTATTTTTGTTCACATCTAGAGTTCTTCCATAATATAATTGCTTACTAAGGCGCATTATATTTGTTAATTTATTTTTATATGTCTTGTACTTGCGTTCAGCTTCTTCAGTTTCTTTTGCATTGGATTGAGTGGTCTTCAACTTAATGAACAATTTGTAAAGATGTTGTTTCTTATTGCAAGAATTAAGGATTCCTCTTGTGAGCCAGGGACTTTTTTTTTGTTTATTTTTTTTATGCCACAATTTCATGGGACAGTGTATATCATACAAGGAAATAAATATTTTCAGAAATGTATCATATGCAACATTTACATTTGTCTCAGTTAAAACTAAGCTCCAATCCTGTTCATTTAAGCTATTTTTAAAGGCATTCAAATTTACTTCAGTTCTCTCTCGTTTGTAAGTTTCCTTAGGATCAGTTTTTGTGTTGTATACAAGGTCACAGTCACACAGGAGGAAGACTGGCAGATGATCAGAAATGTCACATATTAACAAGCCACTGGTGATCGGTTTCTCTATTGTGTTGGAAAATATGTTGTCAATCAGTGTGGCACTATGTACTGTTAGTCTACTCGGTCTGGTTATGGTTGGATATAAAGATATGCTACACATGGTGTCAGAAAAGTCTGCTATGGCCTTATGTTTTGCTGGATTGAGTAAATTAATGTTAAAATCACCACAAATGAATAATTCTTTTTTGTTTGTAGGACAAAACCTCACAAACCTCATGATGACGGCTGGGCGCTCGTTGTTCCGGGAGGGCAAGGGATGGCAAGCCTCAACGTGGTCCAGGTCCAGCTCTATCCCCCTGGAGTGGAGGTAGGAAGCCACCTGCTGCTCCACGGAGGCAGTCTCGTCCTCACTGGGCTGCCCACCGATCGCGTCAGAGGCCACCGCGCGCGCGTACGAGCGCGGTTTGGTTTTAATTCCGGAAATAATTAGGTCGTTAATCCGACTGTACTGCTCCATATCGTCAACTCGCCGCTCCAAATCCACGATGCGGCGGTCCTTCTCTTCATTTTGGATGCGCAGGGTGTTAACCAACTCCAGCAGTGACAGGAGTTGGGCCTGCTGCGTCCTGACAGCTGTCATTTCCCCGGTAAGGTAAAATACACATACACTGAATATAAAATAATAAAAAAAACAGCTGACACTGTGGCACCGATCAACAAAACAATACAAGGGGTAAAAGCAGGAATTAAAGTGCTCTGTTTAGGCACCTAACAGCCTGTGGAAAGAAGCTGTTAGCATAGCGAGATGTCTTGCATCTCAGCGACCGATATCTTCTGCCAGAGGGAAGAAGCTGGAACATGGCTTTCCCAGGGTGGCCAGAAGAGTCATTGATGATTTTAAGAGCTTTGTTTAAAAGTCTGGATTCATAAAGAACCTCGAGAACAGGAAGCTCACAGCCCACGGTCCTCTTAGCAGAGCACCTTGTTTAAAGATCTCTTTTCTTTATCTGTGATGTTTCCAAACCACACAGACACAGAACCAACAAGTAAACTCTGATGAAGGGGGTTCTCTAAAACAGACACAGCTGTCAAAGGAGAGCTGATGTTCACACCCGAGGAGCTTTACAGGAATCTAGCATTTCATTTTACTGAATCTGAGGAGTCCTTTGTGAAGAGCGACCTCTCGTCCCAACGAACGCTCCTGTTTTCAGAGGTGCACTCAGATACAAGTGGTTTGTGAGCAGCCAGCGGTCATCAAATGGAAAGAGAGATCTTCTTTGTGAGAGACTCGCTCTCTACAATCGCCACAATCAAACTGAAGCCAAGAACTGGGACTACTAACATGGTCTGCACTCATCGTCTGGGAGGAAAGTTTTTCATTGTCCGATTTGACAATGAACCGAGTGTTGGCCAAGTGACCAAAGGGTGAAGAAGGAAATTGAAGTCAGTCGCATATAGCAGAGGAAACACACACACACACACAGACACACACAGAACCTGATTTGTGTGTGTGTGTTTGACAGCAAAAATCTAAGTTTATAATAGTAAGTTTATAATAAAATATGTTTATTTGGTTTGTTTCATTTAGGGAATGTCTTCAAAAATAGAAAATGTTAAACCTGATTCTTCCTCTTGCTGATTGTTTAAATTCAATTAATTCATTGTTGTTGTTTTAATGATGAGGTTACATAAAATACATTTATGTATATAGGTTTGTTATTACTTATGTGTCTTCACAGAATCCCTTCAGTGAGACCAGATTTTCATATTAAAAAAGAGAGACTAAAACTCAACTGTGATTCTTTACTGATGTAAACAACAATGGCTTTGGTTCTCTAGATTAGTTTGGTCCAACCCAGTGATCCAAGATGGCGCCCTATACAAATCAATGACCAGTGCTCAGTAGTGCACGGGACATTTACGGGGGCCAAAAGATAAGCAGAAATCAGCCATATTTGGTGGGGGGGGGGGGGGGGGGGGGCTCAGTTGGTAGAGCATTGGCCTTTGGGTGGAGTGCAGATGTAAACTGGACCACATTACACCGGTTTTAAAATCGCTGCATTGGCTCCCCGTATGTTTCAGGATCGATTTTAAGGTTCTTTTAATGGTTTTTAAATGTCTTAATGGTCTTGGGCCTTCTTATCTTTCAGATTTGCTTTTATCCTATGAACCTTCCCGGCCCCTGCGCTCCTCCGGCAGCAGACTCCTAACCATCCCCAAAGTCAGGACACACACTCACGGCGAGGCATCTTTCCAGCACTACGGTTATATATATACGTTCATATTTTTAAAAGTAGGCTCAAGACACACTTTTTTAGCTTTTGATTAGTTTTTATTATTCCATTCTATTTATCTTTTATCAGGAGCACAGCAGGAGCAGAGCAGGAGCAGGAGCAGGAGCAGGAGCAGAGCAGGAGCAGGAGCAGGAGCAGAGCAGGAGCAGTGCAGGAGCAGGAGCAGGAGCAGGAGCAGGAGCAGGAGCAGAGCAGGAGCAGAGCAGGAGCAGAGCAGGAGCAGGAGCAGGAGCGGGAGCAGAGCAGGAGCAGTGCAGGAGCAGTGCAGGAGCAGAGCAGGAGCAGAGCAGGAGCAGGAGCAGGAGCAGGAGCAGGAGCAGAGCAGGAGCAGAGCAGGAGCAGAGCAGGAGCAGAGCAGGAGCAGAGCAGGAGCAGAGCAGGAGCAGAGCAGGAGCAGGAGCAGAGCAGGAGCAGAGCAGGAGCAGAGCAGGAGCAGAGCAGGAGCAGGAGCAGGAGCAGGAGCAGGGGTGGGAGATTAGACCTTTCACAGTATAATTGCTAAGTTCTTCTACTGTTATGTACATGTGCTAACTTTGGTTCAACCTCAGAAGTGAGATCTGCAACAATAGGACTCATCTGCTTATTATTGATCACTACAAATGGTGCAGTAGAAAGTTTCTGAGTTCCCCCGTGCCAAATAACATGTATCGAGTATAGAAAATAAACATGCAAAATGGCACACACAAAAATCAGCATAACAGCCAGGCCACGAAAGATGAGATTGTGGGTATTTTGGCCAAATATATCCAAACATTTGAACAATAAATCAACATCTGTTCATCATCATCATCATCATCATCATTACGACAGGTCTGTCCACTTACAGTCAGGTCTGGGTCTGCAGGGCACAGAGGGGCCTCAGTCGGGGCGCTCTGCTGGGCCTCACACAGGTCCATGTTCCGTCCTCCTCCAGCGCTGACCTGTCCCCGCAACACATTTAACAAAACATAAACCTATTTCAATTTGGAGAGACGAGAAACGAAATTGGTTTTGAGTATTTATTGAGGTGGTTTGGCGCCCTAGGCCCCGGTGCGGCCTTCAGATCGGAGAGGCTCCTGCGATGGAGCGCGTACAATCCCCCGGGGCCTAGGCACTGGTGGCGGCATTTTGGCAGATTGGAGGCAGGTTGGAGGCAGATTGGAGGCAGATTGGAGGCAGATTGGAGGCAGATTGGAGGCAGGGTGAAGAGGAGGAGGAGGGGAGGCGGTGGTTGCGAGGCTTCGAGAAGGCCGAGAGTGGGAGTTGCTCCGCTTTTAAGCGGCTGCCTGTCCGGTACGGATGATTGGAAGGGGGCGTTTGCTGAGCGATAGGCTGGGGAAGCGAACCGGCCTGGAGGGGGTAGCTTTTGGCTGACGTCTACCAAATTGAATTTTCGCGAGCTGCATATGTATGAACGCAACACATTTAACAAAACATAAACCTATATGTATGAACGCTACACATTTAACAAAACATAAACCTATATGTATGAACGCAACACATTTAACAAAACATAAACCTATATGTATGAACGCAACACATTTAACAAAACATAAACCTATATGTATGAACGCAACACATTTAACAAAACATAAACCTATATGTATGAACGCAACACATTTAACAAAACATAAACCTATATGTATGAACGCTACACATTTAACAAAACATAAACCTATATGTATGAACGCAACACATTTAACAAAACATAAACCTATATGTATGAACGCAACACATTTAACAAAACATAAACCTATATGTATGAACGCAACACATTTAACAAAACATAAACCTATATGTATGAACGCAACACATTTAACAAAACATAAACCTATATGTATGAACGCAACACATTTAACAAAACATAAAACCTATATGTATGAACGCAACACATTTAACAAAACATAAACCTATATGTATGAACGCTACACATTTAACAAAACATAAACCTATATGTATGAACGCTACACATTTAACAAAACATAAACCTATATGTATGAACGCAACACATTTAACAAAACATAAACCTATATGTATGAATGCACACATTACGCAAACACATTTAACGCAAAACATAAACCTAACTATGTATGAACGCAACACATTTAACAAAACATAAACCTATATGTATGAACGCAACACATTTAACAAAACATAAACCTATATGTATGAACGCAACACATTTAACAAAACATAAACCTATATGTATGAACGCAACACATTTAACAAAACATAAACCTATATGTATGAACGCAACACATTTAACAAAACATAAACCTATATGTATGAACGCAACACATTTAACAAAACATAAACCTATATGTATGAACATCTGAGCACTGAGAACTGACAGCCCTGTTTCCACCGGCCCGACTTGGCCAAACTCAACTACTACTCTAATGATACTCTACTGCTACTCTATTACTACTCCACTACTACTCTAATATACTCCACTACTACCCTACTAGTACTACTCCACTAATACTCGACTACTACTCCACTACTACACCACTACTATTCCTCTACTACCCAACTAATACTCCACAAATACTGCACTACGACCCCACTTCTACTCCACTAATACTCGACTACAACTCCACTACTACCCAATTACTACTCCACTACTACTCCACTACTTAGTACCAGCTTGGCCCTGGTTCTATCCAGGCTGTCAAAAGTTGATTTTGCCAAAGGCTTTGGCAGAGGCACCAGCTAAGTTTCAAATGAAAGTCATTTTTTCCCCACAAATAGGCCTCACTTAAATGTAAGCCACAAGTGTCTATGTTGTAATGTAACAGTTATATACACAGGTATATAACTTGAAATGAAGTAGCAGCTTATTGTCCAGCAATTAGCAGTGCTTCTAAGTTAATTCATACAAGTTTGAAGTGGTTAGCAGTGCTTCTAAGTTCATGCATACAAGTTTGAAGTGGTTAGCAGTCCTAGGTTCATTCATACACGTTTGAAGTGGTTAGCAGTGCATCTAAGTTCATGCATATAAGTTGGAAGTGGTTAGAAGTGCTTCTAGGTAAATAAGTTTGAAGTGGTTAGCAGTGCTTCAAAATTCATTCATACAGGTTTGAAGCCCTTAGCTTAGCCATACTTCTAATCTTATTTATACTGTGGGAAGCGATTACTTGTTTGAAGTGGTTAGCGGTGCTTCTAAGTTCACACATGCAAGCAAAGTAGTACACGTAGAGGATTATCTTTCATTATTCCCGGTAGTACTCTTCTTACCGGAGTACAAACACGCGGTACTCTCTCCTGCTTCGCCCTGACACATGCTCCACAGGTCCCGGCGTCAGTCTGGTTCCTCTGCCGCTGTGTGGATGAGAAGCACCGGGCACGGTCACAGTCCTGCGGGGAACGCGGAGCTCCGGGCTTTGACAGCTCTGCGACTCTGAATGGAGGTTACGCTTGTTGTTGTTCTCCTGCGCACAAATCCACGTCTGCGCTACGTAAAGTGCGTAAGGGCTGCGTAGCGGGGGGAGCATGCGCACAGTGCTGCCACCCTCAGGTCAGAACCGGCATTGCGTCCTCTGCTGAATAAAGAGGATTAATGAAAAGACTTTTATCTCTAGCGACTCCCAGAATTCTGAAACTACTAGAACTCCCAGAGCCGTCAATTTGACTGCTCCCATTAAAACCAATTGAATTATGGGAAGTTCCCCCCAAAATATTGAGTTCTCCACCTGAGATATTAAAAGCAAGTCATTTATAAGTTTCAGTGCTAAAACTGTTGAGTATATTAGCAAAACAGTTTGTTGAAAATCTAATGCTAAAGACCAAATGCTAACTGCTGCAAGTGTGTTCCTATGGTAACCAGTCCTGGCTTCTCTCTGGTGGAAAACAAGGGGCTTTAGGTGCCATAGAATGTTAGTTACCAAGCAACCAAATATGGGTAAATTTGAATTTGAGTAAAAGGATCCTCACGTTTCACGTTTATCAAAAGATAATTTCATAAACATAATAACAAAGAAAAAAATTAACAACATATAGAAACAGTCACAAAGTTAAGAGGACTAAAAATTGTTCATGAGCTGAGTATGTTGAATAGTTTAAATGTATGTAATATAGTTACATGAATTATTTAATTTAATTTATCAGTAAGTTATGCATCCAAGCTCCAAGTGCTAGTATCGAACGTCATTGTTTTATATCCCTTATATTACTTAAGCCACTGAAATATAATTTATATCGGTGGTGATGATCCAGGACATTTAAATGTATTATGGGCATCCCTTAAGGACCCTCTATGTGTTTTTGTCATTGCATTTGCTGTGATTGATCTGTTTGATTCGCTGATCTGTGTTGGCGAATCCACAGCTTTGTAACTACTAGTGTGATTTAGGGCTATACAAAATTAATTTTAATTTAATTCATTTTTTGAAGGTTTCTTATGTTCATAATAATAATATAGTCAACGAACACAATAAATACTTTCCCAAATAAATTGAAATAGGTTTAGTGGATTTTCCGGTCACATGTCTTCGCTGCTGATGTAAACACAGCGCTGTCTCTCCGCACGCTCACAAACTCCAGCTGCATCCAAATTAATCACAACTACCTCCTTTTTCATCCTGTCTTGTCTTTAAATATGTATCTTTTACTTGTGTTAGTAGCTTCACGTTTGATTAAAATACATCTAAGACATGTAAGATTTCACTCAAGTAATCTATGACACCACAGACGTGAATGAAGAAGAGAAGAAAGATTATAGTAGAAGGTATGTAATTGGATTCGGACGCGGCCGCGCACACAAACAGAGCGCTCGCACTCCCGGAGCTACCCGCCTCATCCCTCTGTCCTCCTCCAGCGGAGCAGCCAAAGGGGAGCCCCCGTGTGTGGAGCCCCGTGTGTGGAGGCAAGCATGGAGCTCTACATCAGCCTCAAGGTGCATTTCCGCGGAAACTCCAAGAGCTTCCTGCTGTCGGGCTCCGAGACCTGGGAGGCTCTGGAGGCCATGGTAAGCTGCTCTCACTGCGGGGACAGGGCGCCCGTGCCTCGGCCTGTAGCAGGTGCTTTTCCCGGAGTGGTCTCCGGATGGGTGGATGAATGGATGGACGTATGGTTCTAATTATGACCCAGAACTGTCGTCATGGAAACAACATCCCAAATTATTATAATTTTTCTCTAGTGATGGCTTCTCCCGCGTGTTGCGTTCACGTGCGAGGATTTATGTTGTTCACAAAAAGGTTGGCATTTTGTGGGAAACATGATGATATCTTATTCTAAAAAATGACACTATTTTGCATTCCGTAACCGCGTCGCCCACCAATAATCTGATGACAGTTTTGTATTTATTTAATTTATTTTTTGGTCAATGTCATGCCATACCTTCTCAATGTTGACTAATAACAAAACATACAATATTCCTCTTTCCACTGTGTGATAAGGGCCACGGGATCTGTGGTTCCTCCTCCTCATGGAATCTGTTACAAATAGTAGGTGTCAGATGGTTAGCACTTCCTGAGACAAGAGTATGTCTAAAAAAGGCTACAATCACTTTACCGTTTTAACTTAGAATTTCTCTGTGTCGCGTGGAACCAACGAGATGCACGTGATCAGAGTCCATGCTGTAGTAAACAAACATTTATGAAATAGATGTAGATAATACATTATGTCTTCTTGGTGTGAAGGCTTTGGTGCTTCTTTTGATGATAAAGAGTGTGAGGAAGACATGTAATAAAGCAGTATTAGAAGGGCAGGGCCTGGTTAGTCTTGTGATGGGAGACCTCTGAGAACACCTGATGCCACAGTGGGGCAGCTGCAAAGTGCCAAACTTTTGTTGTGTCCTTAGGCAAGACACTTCACCTACATTAGAATGAGTCTGGTGTGTGTGTGAATGGTTGGTGGTGGTGGGAGGGGCCGATGACACAGACTGGTTGCCTCGCTTCTGTCAGTGTGCCCCAGGGCAGCTGTGGCTACAGTAGTCGATTATCACCACTGTGTATGAAGTGAATAAATAATGAAATGTGAAGCGACTTTGAGTGTATAAAAAAGCGCGATATAAAACCGTTGCGTTATTATTATTGTAACTTTATTATCATTATTTACACTCTTTGTCAGAAAATAAGAATCCTCTAAACCTCATTTAAAAAATGAAAAATGAAAAATGCTAACGAAGCATTTAGCATTTTACTTTGGACTAGAGCAGAGAAAATGGTCCGAACCAAGCGTCTACTCCACCTTTTGACCTGTCCTGCTCCACCCAGAGGCTACTCCACCTCTGCTGCTGTGACCTGAGGCTGTTGCTGTTTATTACTATTTTTAACTTTTTAGAATGATTAATTTTATTTTTTATTTTTGCTGCACCTAGCCTGGCCATATCCATCCGTACACTCCGCTCAATCATCATTTCACTGCATGTAACGTCTGGGTGTAGTCCCTGTGTTAGCGAATACAATCGGTTGAATTTAGACCGACAAATCAGCGAGCGTTGGAGGCGGGTGTTGTAGTTAGTTGTGAGTGACGTCAAGAGTTTGTGTCGAACGGGAAGGTCGTAGTTTGGCAATGGCGAAAAATGCGATAGTAAAGTATTCTGGTCTGGTTCTATCAAGAAATTGAAGCAGGAGCAAGAGGAATGTTTAGCAAATGTAATTGCTGGCAAAGATTGTGACGCTACTCCCCATGGGCTCCGTTAGCGGCAAAGGTGATGGCTAAAGCTAGGCTAAATGCTAACTACAGACTCAGACTCAGATCCAATCGTTTCAATCTGCAAAAGGAGTTAACCCCTCCCACCTGTAAACGGAGTCAATGGAGCGCCCAGTACAAAATGTAATTTGTACTATGGTGTGGTACGACCAGGCTTCTGGACACCTGAATTTCTCTATTTCTCTGTCTATCTATGTTTATTTTATTTTTGGGAACCTTAGTATCCCATCAAATTTCAATCTAGAGAGACTCAAACAAACAAAACAGGGGTTTATCAGAATTGTACATTGGTTGATAATTATTTTTGAAATGAGCATATATGACTCTGAAAGCGATACATGTATGTACAAAACACATATTATTACCCGATTTGATTGCAGAAGGGGAAATGGATACAGTGATTATAAAATGAAATCCCCCGGGGTCTAGACCCTGGTGGTGGGATCGAGGAGATGGGGAGGATCTGTTACAAAAATATTCACTTTTCCCCAGACATGAGAGAAAGACGAGTCGTAAAATGTCTTGGTTGAATTTTAAGTATTGCAAAGAATATGAAATTAAATTGCTAAAATCAATGATATTTGCATGTAATTGAGTATTTACATCAATATTAAAAGTTGGGTGCGTAACTTTCAAACCACCGAATGAAAGTATGTGATAAAATGCGTCTAACTGGATCTAACAGATTTGCATTTTTGACCTCTGTCTCATCTTTAAATCAGTGTTTTTATACAGGAGAATGCAGAATAGTGAAAAGATAAGAAAATCAGTCTTTTTCTGAGTGGAGTTTGCATGTTCTCCTTGTGTCTGCATATGTTTCCTCTGGGTGCTCCGGTTGTCCCCTACCTCTGAAAACATGGACAATAGGCAGAATCACATTTACTCGACAGCTCTTGTGCCTTGTGTTGCAGATGAAGCGCTCCTTTGGCCTCAGCAGTCTGCAGCTGACCTACTACGATGAGGAGAACGAGGAGGTGCGAGCTCTGAGGAGGTGCTAAACATTTAAATACATCCCACAGTCGTCTAACACATGTCTCTGTTTCTCTTTATCAGGAGATGATCAACAACCAAGGTAGTGCACACGCCTCCTCACGCCTCCGCACGCCTCCTCACGCCTCCTCAGTCCTTCTCACGCCTCCTCACTCCTCCTCACGCCTCCTCACGCCTCCTCAGTCCTTCTCACGCCTTCTCAGTCCTCCTCACGCCTTCTCAGTCCTCCTCACGCCTCCTCAGTCCTCCTCACGCCTTCTCAGTCCTCCTCACGCCTCCTCAGTCCTCCTCATGCCTTCTCAGTCCTCCTCACGCCTCCTCAGTCCTCCTCATGCCTTCTCAGTCCTCCTCACGCCTCCTCACTCCTCCTCACTCCTCACGCCTCCTCACTCCTCCTCACGCCTCCTCAGTCCTCCTCACGCCTCCTCACTCCTCCTCACTCCTCACGCCTCCTCACTCCTCCTCACGCCTCCTCAGTCCTCCTCACGCCTCCTCAGTCCTCCTCACTCCCCCTCGCACTACTCTCTCCTCCTCACTCCTAATTACTCCTCCTCACTCCTCACGCCTCCTCACTCCTCCTCACACTACTCTCTCCTCCTCACTCCTAATTACTCCTCCTCACTCCTCTTTACGCCTCCTCACTCCTCTTCACTCCTCACACTTCTCACTCCTCTTCAAGTCTCGCACCTCACGCCAAAAAAATGGTCTTTTGTGGCCAGTTCGATGAACAGTTGTGCAGTTCTCTTTCTGTCTAATCAGAATGAATTATGGGTCTGGTGTTGGAGGAGTCTCCGAGGTCTAGACCCTGGTGGTGGTGGAGTCCCCCAGGTCTAGACCCTGGTGGTGGAGTCCCCCAGGTCTAGACCCTGGTGTTGGAGGAGTCCCCCAGGTCTAGACCCTGGTGGTGGAGTCCCCCAGGTCTAGATCTTGGTGGTGGTGGAGTCCCCCAGGTCTAGACCCTGGTGGTGGAGTCCCCCAGGTCTAGATCTTGGTGGTGGTGGAGTCCCCCAGGTCTAGACCCTGGTGGTGGTGGAGTCCCCCAGGTCTAGATCTTGGTGGTGGTGGAGTCCCCCAGGTCTAGATCTTGGTGGTGGAGTCCCCCAGGTCTAGATCTTGGTGGTGGTGGAGTCCCCCAGGTCTAGACCCTGGTGTTGGAGGAGTCCCCCAGGTCTAGACCCTAGTGTTGGAGGAGTCCCCCAGGTCTAGACCCTGGTGTTGGAGGAGTCCCCCAGGTCTAGACCCTGGTGGTGGAGTCCCCCAGGTCTAGACCCTGGTGGTGGAGTCCCCCAGGTCTAGATCTTGGTGGTGGTGGAGTCCCCCAGGTCTAGATCTTGGTGGTGGTGGAGTCCCCCAGGTCTAGATCTTGGTGGTGGAGTCCCCCAGGTCTAGATCTTGGTGGTGGTGGAGTCCCCCAGGTCTAGACCCTGGTGTTGGAGGAGTCCCCCAGGTCTAGACCCTAGTGTTGGAGGAGTCCCCCAGGTCTAGACCCTGGTGTTGGAGGAGTCCCCCAGGTCTAGACCCTGGTGGTGGAGTCCCCCAGGTCTAGATCTTGGTGGTGGTGGAGTCCCCCAGGTCTAGATCTTGGTGGTGGTGGAGTCCCCCAGATCTAGACCCTGGTGGTGGTGGAAGCTGGAAGTAATGAGAAAGACGGAGAACTGACGCCGCACTACGGTTTTGGGAGGAGGCGGGTTGCTGTGTTGACTAAAACATAGTGGAGAGCTGTGAGGCTCTGTGCAGCAGGTGAAGCAGATTTTCACACTGACCAAAAATCCCTGATGGGCCTAATCACATGACCGCCCGCACTGTTGTGTCCTTTGTCAATAATCACACTCATGAGTCATGACCACGTACCAATCCAGGAGCTAATCTACTAATCTGAGATTACACAGTATCACAGTGGTTTAGATTAGACTCAGGATCTGTACTTTAACAGTTCAATTTGACCCAAAGTTTAATGTTTCTAATAAGACAATTGATTTTTTTCATTCTAGTGGATTATGAAGACGCTCTGAAGGTAAAACTATCTGTACATACTGTCAGACTGTAGTAAGAGTACTGTCAGACTGTAGTATGAGTACTGATCCACTGTCAGACTGTAGTATGAGTACTGATCCACTGTCAGACTGTAGTAGGAGTACTGTTAGACTGTAGTAAGAGTACTTTTAGACTGTAGTAAGAGTACTTTCAGACTTTAGTAAGTGTACTGTCAGACTGTAGAAAGAGTACTGTCAGACTGTAGTAAGACAACTTTTACACTGTAGTAAGACAACTTTTACACTGTCAGACTGTAGTAAGAGTACTGTTACACTGTCAGACTGTAGTAAAAGTACTGTTCCACTGTCAGACTGTAGTAAGTGTATTGTTCCACTGTCAGACTGTAGTAAGAATACTGTCAGATTGTAGTAAGAGTACTGTCAGACTGTAGTAAGAGTACTGTCAGACTGTAGTAAGAATACTGTCAGACTATAGTAAGAGTACTGTTCCACTCTGAGACTGTAGTAAGAGTACTGTTCCACTGTCAGACTGTAGTAAGTGTACTGTCAGACTGTAGTAGGAGTACTGTCAGACTGTAGGAGGAGTACTGTTTCACTGTCAGACTGTAGTAAGAGTACTGTCTGACTGTAGTAAGAGTACTGTTACACTGTGAGACTGTAGTAAGAGTACTGTTCCACTGTGAGACTGTAGTAAAAGTACTGTTCCACTGTCAGACTGTAGTAAGAATACTGCCAGACTGTAGTAAGAGTACTGTCAGACTGTAGTAAGAATGCTGTCAGATTGTAGTAAGAGTACTGTCAGACTGTAGTAAGAATACTGTCAGACTGTAGTAAGAGTACTGTTACACTCTGAGACTGTAGTAAGAGTACTGTTCCACTGTCAGACTGTAGTAAGAGTACTGTTACACTGTGAGACTGTAGTAAGAGTACTGTTCCACTGTCAGACCGTAGTAAGTTTACTGTTACACTGTCAGACTGTAGTAAGTGTACTGTAGGACTGTAGTAGGAGTACTGTCAGACTGTAGTAAGAGTACTGTCAGACTGTAGTAGGAGTACTGTCAGACTGTAGTAAGAGTACTGTCAGACTGTAGGAGGAGTACTGTTCCACTGTCAGACTGTAGTAAGTGTACTGTCAGACTGTAGTAGGAGTACTGTCAGACTGTAGTAAGAGTACTGTCAGACTGTAGTAGGAGTACTGTTTCACTGTGAGACTGTAGTAAGAGTACTGTTCCACTGTCAGACTGTAGTAAGAGTACTGTTACACTGTGAGACTGTAGTAAGAGTACTGTTCCACTGTCAGACTGTAGTAAGTTTACTGTTACACTGTCAGACTGTAGTAGGAGTACTGTCAGACTGTAGTAAGAGTACTGTCAGACTGTAGTAGGAGTACTGTTCCACTGTCAGACTGTAGTAAGTTTACTGTTACACTGTCAGACTGTAGTAAGTGTACTGTAGGACTGTAGTAGGAGTACTGTCAGACTGTAGTAAGAGTACTGTCAGACTGTAGTAGGAGTACTGTTTCACTGTCAGACTGTAGTAAGAGTACTGTCAGACTGTAGTAAGAGTACTGTCAGACTGTAGTATGAGTACTGTCAGACTGTAGTAAGTGTACTGTCAGACTGTAGTAAGTATACTGTCAGATTGTAGTAAGAGTACTGTTCCACTGTCAGACTGTAGTAAGTGTACTGTCAGACTGTAGTAAGAGTAGTGTCAGACTGTAGAATGAGTACTGTCAGACTGTTGTAAGAATACTGTCAGACTGTAGGAAGAGTACTGTCAGACTTTAGTAGGAGTACTGTGAGACTGTAGTAAGAATACTGTCAGACTGTAGTAAGAGTACTGTCAGACTCTAGTAAGTGTACTGTCAGACTAGTAAGTGTACTGTCAGACTAGTAAGAGGACTGTCAGACTTTAGTATGAGTACTGTGAGACTGGAGTAAGAATAATGTCAGACTGTAGTAAGAGTACTGTCAGACTCTAGTAAGTGTACTGTCAGACTAGTAAGTGTACTGTCAGACTAGTAAGAGTACTGATCCACTGTCAGACTTTAGTAGGTATACTGTCAGAGTGTAGTAAGAGTACTGCTGTGTACTTTTCCCAGAGTGCGTCCAAACAGGGAAACCGTCTGCAGCTGAACGTGTACGAGGTGCGGCCGCAGACCGCCAGAGTGGGCGGAGCCTCTAAAACCAGCTCCACGGAGCCCAAGAGAGGGTTCCGCCCACCACAGCCCTGCCCCACCCTGGCCCACGTGGTCAGCCGCAAAGTGCAGGCCGCCGTCCCCGACCAGGGCATGGTGAGTGTCAGAGGGAATAATAATAATAATAATAATAATAATAATAATAATAATAATAATAATAATAATGATGATAATAATAAAAATAGAAATTAAAATAGTAGTACTAGTAATAATGTGTATTTATTTATTTAGACATTTTCAAAGAGTGTTTACAAAGTGCTGCACCAAGTCAGTAAAACATTCATAATACATTTCAATAATAAATCCAGGAGAATAAAGCAGACAGAGACGCCACACAAGAAAGACAAAGTCAAATACAACATGAAGAGATTAAGACGGCTGTTGGAAAACCGTTTGACAAAAGTGAGTTTTCAGACGTCATGTAAAAGAAGGTACAGGGTTCTGTTCTCAGGACAATCCAGAGCCTCCATCATAGGACAAAAATATATCTCAATACATTTTTCTATATTTCTATATACGATAAACATGTATATATCTAGATATTGTTACAGAATAAATAACCCCCAAAAAATACTGCAAAGACTTTTTTTAATTGATTCTCAAAAAGGAGTCATTTCAAGTAGGAACAAAGTGTTTCTGTCACATTTGTTTACATTTCTTGTGAATAAAATTGAAACATTTGGCCTTCTCTTTATTCAAAAATAAAAAAGTGCTTCTGTAACATTTAACATTTAAAAGTATCTCTGATTACAGCAATAGTAAATAACTTGTTCCTGTTCAGCGAAACGCGTCTCTCTCTCCGTACTGCAGTCGCTGTAGTTTGTGGATAGACAGATACACAGAACAACAGATAGATACCTTATTGATCCCCGTTGGAGAAAGTCAGGTGTCCAGCAGCAGAACATCCATCCAATCAGACAAACAAATAAATACTGGTAAATATATGGATATGAACAATGTTGGCATTTGCGTTCGGCAGATAATGCTGAAGGAGATGAAGGGCACTAAAGAAGAAGACAAGACCCCACCGGCCTGGTTCACCTCCTACATGGAGAAGGTCAGTGCTGATCTAAACACACAGAGAGGCACATGCACACACAGACACGCACGCACACACACACACACACACACATGAAAACACAAAATATCTGCCCATCACTATGGCAGATAGAAAATGGGAATTGTTCTCAGTGATGGTTGCCATGGTAGCTATTGTCATAGCGACGGTTTCAATGATTACTATTGCCGTAGAAACGGTTTCCATGGTGACTTTTGCCATAGCAATGGTTGGTATGGTGACCATTGGCATAGCAATGGTTGCCATGTTGACGATTGTCATAGCAATGGTTGCTATGGTAACAGGTTGCCACAGCAACAGGTGACGAATGCTATATTGTCAAGGCAACGGTTGCCATTGTGACCATTACCATTGCAATGGTGACAAGTACAGACAATATTTTTTTTTTTTAAGTAAATCTTACAGGTAAATTGATGTTACCATAGTGACCATTGCCGTTGCAACAGTTGCCATGGTGACCATTGCCATAGCGACGGTTACTATGGTGACCATTGCCTTAGCAATGGTTGCCATGGTGACCATTGCCATAGCAATGGCCGCTATGGTGACTATTGCCATAGCAACTGTTACTATGGTGACCATTGCCATAGCAACGATTGCCATAGTGACCATTGACATAGTAACGGTTGCCATGGAGACAGTTATGTTTTGGACAACAAACATTTTTAGAATACTGACAAATTAAAGCAGTTAAAACAAACAAAGTAGATCTAACAGGTAACCTGTTGTTGCCATTGTGACTATTGCCATAGCAACGATGGCTATGGTAACAGGCTCCCATAGCAACAGTTGCATGTTGACCATTGCCATAGTAATGTTTGCCATGGTGACCATTTCCATAGCAACGGTTACTATGGTGACCATTGCCATAGCAACAATTGCCATGGTGACCGTTGACATAGTAACGGTTGCCATGGTGACAGGTATGTTTTGGACAACAACATTTTTTTGAATACTGACAAATTAAAGCAGTTAAAACAAACGAAGTAGCTCTAACAGGTAACCTGTTGTTGCCATGGTGACCATTGCCATAGCAACAGTTGCCATAGCAACGTTTGCCCTGGTGACCCCTGCCATGACAACGATTGCCACGGTGACCGTTGCCATAGCAAGGGTTACCATGGTGACTTTTTCCTAGCAACGGTTACTTTGGTAACAGGTTCCCATAGCAACGATTGCAATGGTGATTATTGCCATAGAAACGTTTGCTATTGCAAGGCTTGCCATATGGAAATCACTATTGTAACTATCCTGGAAACCATCAGATAGGCAACTAGAACCAGCTGTACATTGCAAGCCTGGTGTAAAAAAATTGCCCTTGAGGTATAGAGAAAATGCTCTTGTGGTGCAAGCCTCCCCTGGTCTAGACGAAGCTACGTTGTTGTAAAGAGCGTTATAAGACTAGAGAACTAATAACGCCAGCTTCAACCCATTTGAAAACAAAATTTAGAAGAATGTGTGTTTTGTCAAAGGTCAATTTGAATCTTCCATGATCTGCCCCATCCTCCCTGTTCCCAGTTTAAGGACCAGGTGGTGCGTGAGGCGGTGGAGAAGATCTGCCGGGAGTTCTCAGGACAGTGCTGCATCCACAAGCCGGTGGGCGGAGCTTCAGTGGGCGGGGCATCGGCCGCAGGCCGCGGGGAGGGGGTGGGGGCGGCTGAACCTGCTCTGGTCCCAGAGGTGTCCTCCTCAGCCCTGCCTGGAGCCCCATCCTCCTCTACTCCAGCCTGCTCAGCCTGCCGAGGCCAGACCACCGGAGGAGGCTACCAGTGCAGGTCAGGCCTCTTCAGTCCTGCACGCTCACATCCTGAAGAATGATTTTTAGGTCACGGGCCCCTGGTGGCAGGAGCGTCATTCTGCATAAACACAGTCGTGGTGTGTGTTGTGTTTGTGTCCAGTGTGTGTACCGCTTGCACCCTGTGTGAGCCCTGCAGCTTCTCCCACGACCCTAGCCACAACCTGGTGAGGGCCCGAACGCCTCTGTCCATCCCAGAGCACGGATCCCCGGCCCCGGACCACAGCCGGTACCACACTCACACAACACTCACACAATACACACTAAACGCTCACACAACACTCACACGATACACACAACGCTCACACACAACACACTGTCGCTGATGAGGCTCTTGAACTGCCCTCATTTCTCTCTTTGAACAACAGGCCTCACAGAAATCTAAAATAGCTAGAACCTCCAGAGCCGTCATTTTGACTGCTCCCATTCAAACCAATGGAATTCTGAGAAGGCAACCCCAAAAACGTTTTTTTGTTTTTCACCAGTAAAATTAGTAAATCTATAAGATTTTATTTTACCTTCACTCTCTTTTAATAAGAGCTAAAACTGGTGAATATGACTTGAAATACTTAAAAAATATATTTTGTTGTAAAACTCCTGAATGTTAACTGCAGACAGAAAACAGTGTGTTGCCATGGAAACTAGTAAGTAAGCTTTATTTATATATTAATTTATAAATATCATTGGCCAAGTCCTCACAGAGCTTCACAATAAAGCAGATAAAATACAACTTCAAATTCAATTTAAGATTTAAGGAAAATTTATAATTATAATTCTTTAAAAAATAGAATGTGATTTCATAAAAACAATGACATATAAATAAACTATATATGGATACAGATGAGGTACACACGTTGAGTACTAACACTAACACTTGTGTTAATTGTGTTTGAGTAACAAACAATGTGAACATGTGTTTTGATATTTCCACCTGTTCGTAACGTCTGTTTTGTCCCAGATTCTATCGCCGTGGAGACCGGAGCTTTCGCAAAGCAGAGAAGCAGCGTCTGAAGGCGGAGAAGCGCCTCCTCAAAGCCGAGGTCAAGGAGATCCGCAAACAGCTGCGGATGGAGAGGCGGGGCATACAGTGGAGCTCCACCCACCGAGAAGGATGCTCCTCCCCCGTCCTGCTGCAGCCGCGGGCGACGCAACACACTAGCCCCGAGTGAGTCCTGCCCCTGCACCACAACAACACAATAACACAGTTTATTAATCAATTCTAAGAAATTCTAGTTTAGACCAGGATAGATTTATTTGCATATTGGACTTAAGAGATGAAGACATGATGATGCAGGCGGGTCTAAGACGCTGGCGACACACCACATTCAACGAGATTTATAGACTTTATCAATATTTATGGACATTAGTCTCTGCCCCTGTGTTTACACTGTTTGATTCTCTGATCTGTGTTGACTCACTCCCACAACAGAAACTCCAACTCACTACAGAACTTAAAATCACTTCTCACTAGAGATTTTTTACTACCGATACCGATACCAGAGCTATGGGTATCTGCCGATACCGATATTGACCGATACCGGAAATGATTATGCTAAAATGTATTTAATAATTGAACTCTTTGCTCAAGTAACTGCAAAAGCAGTGGATGAACTAAAGCGCTAAACTTTCCAGATAAAAATGGATTCAACATAAATGTGCAATACTGCAACTATAAAGAGCTGCTCAATGTTCACATTAAACATTCCAACACTGTATTATACCTTATACGTTTATTGAATATAAATGTACTTATATTAACTGTGTTTGAATAAAAAAACACTTAGAACAAACAAAACACGCTGCATGAAAATGTAAATAAATAATAGTACCGTAGCTTTAACTGGATTTCAGATATGTATTTGGTGACGGCATGTACCTGGGTTCCAAATGGTCTATGCGGCTGCGAGCCCAAACTGATGAACTCCAAAGCTTTCGGGTTGTTACTGAAAAGCTTTTTGTGACGCTGCGTCAGTGTCATCTGTGTCTCGTTGTTTTCACGTAATCTCCTTTCGATGCAAAAACTCCCCCTGCTGTTTCTCGTGGTGCTTAGTCGTGTTGTATTTCGCTAGTTTACCGCCGCGTGAACAACGCGACATCACCCCTGTCCTGAAAGCTCTTCATTGGCTGCCTGTGTCCTACAGGATACATTTTAAAATTCTGGTTTTAACCTTCAGAGCTTTGCACGGTCAGGCTCCGTCTTACATCAGTGACCTGATCCAGCCTTACACCCCAGCCAGGGCTCTGAGGTCTGTGGATCAGAACCTCCTGATGGTCCCACGCACTCGCTTCAGGACCAGAGGAGACAGGTCCTTCCTGTTGCTCCTGAGCTTTGGAACGTTCTCCCGCTCTATCTGCGTTCTATAGAGTCTGTTGAGTGCTTCAAAAGTCAACTGAAAACACATTTATTTGTTCAGGCTTTTGCGTAAATTTGTCTTGTTGTATTCTTTTACATGGTTGTCTTGGCCTTTAAAAATGTGTATGTCTAATTTATATGTCTGTTTTTATACCATGTGAAGCGCTTTGTGACCCTGGTCTGTGAAGGGCGCTATATAAATAAAGTTTACTTACGTACTTACTTACTACAACGCTGATTCTTTCCTGCGCTCCATGCTGTGTTGTTGTTGTTGTAGAGCGCCACGAGGAAGTGACGTGTACGTCAGATCTGATAAATTACTTTTAATGAATTCATTTTATACGTATATGTACATTATGCACAATGTATTTTAAGACATTGTGCGGTACCTGGTATGTATTAAAAAATAAAAAAATGGATTGGCAGCACGGCGCCTCTCTCTACGCAGATATCCGATCCAGTATTTTTTCTGGTATCGGCGCCGATATCGATACCAGTATCGGATCGGTGCATCCCTACTTCTCACCTTCTCACCCCCTGTTTCAGCCTTAAAGTAGCAATATGTAAGATTGTCATGTCAAGTCATCATTAAAGGGCCCTAATCTGTCAAAAGGCATTTATAAAACATGGTCTTGTCCATTACATCTTTAACTGATAAAACTCTTGTCCCCGCTGGATTTGTCTGCATATCTGGCAACCTGAGTCAGGGAGAGTGGGAGAGGCTGCAAGATAAGTGAACAATAACTATACTAATTAATATAAAACAATAACTCTAGCATCAAAGGACAAGTATATAATCTATATCTTGAACATAATCCTAATAATGAGTGTAAAGTACTGTTGTGATTTAGTGTTATACATAAATAAATTGACTATAATTGAACTGATCCTATGTGACTCTCACACAGACGCCCGAAGAGGCCTTGTCCCCTGGCTGTCCCCGCCATGACGGCCACCTTCCTGGATGAGAACCTGCCTGACGGGACCCGCCTCCGCCCAGGGACTAAGTTCATCAAGTACTGGAAGATGAGGAACACCGGCAGCGTGGCCTGGACCCAAGACACCAAGGTACAGACTCCAGGAAGAGCACAGAGAAGCCCAGGGGCAAAGGATACATGCCATCATTAACCCCACATCCTGTAATTATAACTTCTACATCAGACGTCTCCAAACCTTTCTCCTGAGAAAGTTACTATTTCAGGACAAAAACGCAGTGAGCTACTTATTCAGGTGAAAGACAGCAGTTTTTATGTTGATGGTCTTGAAACAAAATGTACCTAATGTATAATCAGCTTTAATATTTTTCACATGACCCATTGCCCAATTTAGTTTTTACAAAATTGTGGCTCAAATTTGTTAAAATTTGAGCTCTGACTTGAGTCTTTGGCCTTTTTATTCAGTGTGGCAGTTACATCCATATAAAACTTTCTATAATAATGTATTAATGCAGAAAAAAACATACAAATCTGGTATTTTTACTAGTTGTAGCACGTAAATCATAAAAGGAGATTGAAAATTATTTAAGATTTTTGTTGATGCTAAAATCCTCTGTGGAGCTACTGCTTTGAGAGAAGTCAAAATGAATGAGAAATGACATTCTATTGTTGGTAATGATAATGTGTTGTTGTGTTGCAGCTGAAGTTCATGTGGGGGAACCTGGCTGTGGGCTCAGGGGAACGCTGGAGAGAGGTGTCGGTGCCCTTCCTCCAGCCGGGACAGGTACACACTACTGGACAGACCAACACATATGCACACACACATACTGCTCTTTGATTTTTCAACTCCACTAGACATTCTGTAGATTATCCACACGCACACACACTCAAACACACACACACACACACTCAAACACACAAACAAGGTCAGAGTAAGGACCGTCCAACACACACACTCACATACACATACACACACACAAGGTCAGAGTGAGGACCATCCAGTGCACACACACACACACACAGGGTCAGAGTGAGGACCGTCCAGCACACACACTCACATACACATACACACACACAAGGTCAGAGTGAGGACCATCCAGCGCACACACACACACACACACACACACACACACAGGGTCAGAGTGAGGACCGTCCAGCACACAAACACACACAGGATCAGAGTAAGGACCATCCAGCACACACACACACACACACAGGGTCTGAGTAAGGACCATCCAGCACAAACACACACACACACGCACACACACACACAGGGTCAGAGAGTAAGGACCATCCAGCACAAACACACACACACACAGGGTCAGAGTAAGGACAGTCCAGCACACAAACACACACAGGGTCAGAGTAAGGACCATCCAGCACACACACTCACATACACATACACACACACAAGGTCAGAGTGAGGACCATCCAGCGCACACACACACACACACACACACAGGGTCAGAGTGAGGACCGTCCAGCACACAAACACACACAGGGTCAGAGTAAGAACCATCCAGCACACACACACACACACACACACACACAGGGTCTGCGTAAGGACCATCCAGCACAAACACACACACACACGCACACACACACACAGGGTCAGAGAGTAAGGACCATCCAGCACAAACAAACACACACACACACACAGGGTCAGAGTAAGGACAGTCCAGCACAAACACACACACACACAGGGTCAGAGTAAGGACAGTCCAGCACAAACACACACACACACACACACACACACACACACACACACACACAGGGTCAGAGTAAGGACAGTCCAGCACAAACACACACACACACAGGGTCAGAGTAAGGACAGTCCAGCACACACACATACACAGACAGACAGACACACACTCTCTCACACACACACACACAGACGCACGCAGTGACAGTGAGTGTGTGTCTCAGGTGGGTATTGTGAGTGTGGCCCTCTGTGCTCCCCCGGTGGACGGCTCCTACACGTCCCACTGGCGTCTGGCTCACGCAGGAGAACAGTTCGGGCCCCGGGTCTGGTGCAGCATCGTGGTGGACCCTCTGGCCCCAGCTCCGGTCCTGGCTGACGGCATCCTGGTGTCTCCCTGTGTCACTCCACTGGTAAGAACACACACACACACACACACACACACACTGTAAATACACACACGCGCACACACACACAAACTGTAAATACACACACACACTGTAAACATATGCACACACTGTTGACACACACACAAACACTGTAAACACACATACTGTAAACACACACGCCCTGTAAAAACACATACCCTGTGAACACATACACACTGTAACCATAGACACACTGTAGACACACACACTCTGTAGACATGAACTCATCCACACTGTAGACACACACGCACAGTAGACATACAGACACACACACTGTAAACCCACACACTTGCCCTTCAAACGCACACACATCCCCTGTAAACACACACACACACACATTGTAAATACACACGCCCTGTAAACACACACACACACACATTGTAAATACACACGCCCTCTAAACACACACACACACACACACACACATACATTGTAAATACACACGCCCTGTAAACACACACACACACACTTTTTAAATACACACGCCCTGTAAACACACACATTGTAAACACACACCTAATGTCCCCTGTGTGTTGCGCTCCGTTCCGCAGCAGCGTGTGTAGGAGGCAGTGGGGCTGATTTCAGATACGTGCCCGTGGTAGAAGCCTGGAGCATTAGCACACTGCCTCACAGGAGCTCGTCAGCCCAAATATGACCACGTTTATCTTTGTTGTGTAGAGAAGCAGATGTTTAATGGGTTTCACTGAAAGAGGTTTCATGACACTTTGAAGCAACTGTGGTTAAAGTTAAACTCATCGTTCTAACAATGCACAAGGCGGTGTTTTTCCAAAGGCCGAGCTCCTGGCGCCATGGCAACAGCTGATTGGACGGTCCATGTGAAATATCACTTGAAGTCTGTGAAACTTTGTAGGTGCCTCGTCTCTGCCATCGACAATAAATCATGTCTTCTGTTTCTCCGTCACGATCCCAGACTCTGACATTTTCGTCACTAATATAAACTTAAAAAAAATAAAAAATCCAAGATGGCGGACAATTGTTTTGAATGAAAGCGGTTTATTTCACCCTTGCATGTTTGGGATTCAGCTCTGGTCAGTGTTTGATGACAACATGTGCCTTAAGTCTGTTGTGCGTGCAGAAGGTTAAGGTGTGTTTGTGTGTGTGTGTGTGTGTGTGTGTGTGTGTAGGGCAGGAACCCCGTGACCAAGGAGAAGCTATGTGCCTCTGCAGCGCCCCCTGTGCTGTCAGTGGACCAGGAGGAGTACTGCATCCCCTCTGTGGACCTGCTCACAGCTCAGGTACTGACACAAACACACACACACACAGAAGACCAGCCTGGATATCTGAAGGCTTTTTCTACAGTGTGTCAGTCCTACAGAGGTGAAGATCCAGGACACTTGATATTCAACAACATTTAGGACATTTATAAACATTTTTGTGTTTTTCTGTATCATTGCATTTCCTTTGTTTGAACGGTTTGATCTTCCGAGATAACTACTGTTGTGATTTTGCGCTAAAAAAAGTAAATTGAATGGAAATGAATCTTGCACCAGCTTGTAGTCCAGGGGCCTCCTACCTGTGGCTTGGGAGCTACCAGTAGATTGCCACCTCCTTTTATGTGGCTCCCCAAAGGATTTAGAAATGAACAAATCAAAGAATGTGCTAAATATTTCCAAATTATTAACAAATATCACATCTATAATGGCACGGCGGACTCTACTCTCACCAATATTTTAACACATTTTTCACAGGGCCGCTTAAGGGAGTAGCTCTTTTTGTTTCAAGAAAGTCTCTCTCCGGAGGGAAAAGGTTGGAGACCCCTGTGTCTATCTCATATTTTGATTTCTAAGATTTTCTCCGTCTGTTCTATGTCTCCACCACATCTGGCCGCTCTGCTACAGTTTCTGTGTCGGTCCCTTCTCATAAACACCATGTTGCAGAGAAGCCTCTAACATCTGGACTCTGTGGTTGTTACAGGACCTGCTGTCCTTTGAGCTGCTGGACATCAACATCGTCCAGGAGCTGGAGAGTGTCCCCAACAGCGCCCCCGCAGGTGAGGAGCCCCAGCATGAGAGGGGATTACAAAGTGGGAAACTTCAATGTCATAGTCGTGCAGATTACAGCAGGGAGGAAAAGAGACTCAGGCTTTGCTCACTTTGAACAGGATCTAAACTTTAAGATATTAGACAATAAAATAATACAATAATAAACTCTGGAGCTAGAATTGCTCTTGGTTCAAGGAGAAGTTCACTGGAGGTGTTTACAGATGTTTTTACAGTACATCAGGAGCAGAGAATATGAGCAGAATAAACTAGGGAATTATCAGATGAGTGGATTATGTTATAATTTAATGATAAAGTAATTCTGATAGCAGCATGAGATCATTTTTAAAAGTACTCTGTGTGATTTTTACAGTTGCTCCGAATGAAAAAACATGTTTACAAATCACAAATGTGACCTTTTTGAGAATATTTACATCCACCATGTTTTTGAATTGTTGTCATAGGCTTAGAATTTGACTTCTAAATGTCCATGAGGCTGAGGACTCCACACGACACGGCGCCATCTTGAAATACAGTGGGTGATAAGGGACAAAAAGGAGTTTGAGCACTGTAAATGACAATATATGATCTCAAAGCTCGATGGGAGTCAAAACTACACAGTGGACCTTTAAATCATTTGCTGCAGCACAAGATTATTTCAGGAAAATACCAACAATGGTAAGAGACTAAAGCAGCAATGGAAATGACAAATACAGAACACGATATAGAAGTACAGAACAAAGACACTCTGTATTTTGGGACCAGAGCAGATGTTTGTGTAAAAGTTTGAATCCGGGAATATTTTGGCTTGTGGTTTGCATCTAGACTGTTCCATAGTTCACACCTCGTACAGATACACAAGCTTTTACGAGTACTTTGAAGTTTAGGTGTGTGAAGTCTCCATATGCTCCAGACCCTGGGCTCTTTCCCGAATTGAGAAAAAGTGCTGTAGATGAATTGCTAATAATTAGTTAATAATAGTTGAATCATATTTTACAAGATCATTAAATTGTCTTTACCACATATTTCTCACTTCCTCTTTATTCTCCGTGAAGCAGCCGAGAAACTCATCTGTATTTCATGTCTGTGTTTGTTCAGACGTGACTGCTGCAGAGCGCCCCCTGCAGGACAAAGGCAGCCCGCCTCTGGGGCTGATCCAGGAGGAAGCCGAGGTCATCAACAGCATCATGGGTAAGAACTAGGGCTGTCAAACGATTACATTTTTTTAGTTGATTAATCGCATAGTAATGGTGAGTTAACTCACGATTAATCGCATGTTTAACATTCTATTTCAAATCCACTCCAATTGAAGTTAAATGAGATTATCAAATATAATGACCAGTGTTGGGTAAGTTACTTTGAAAAAGTAATTAGTTATAGTTACTAGGTACTTCTTCCAAAAAGTAATTGACTTACTAACTGAGTTACTCCACTATAAAAGTAACTAGTTACCAGTAAAAGTAACTATTGCGTGGTACCGAGCTTTAGCTGGCTGTAATTTAGGATAACTTCTAAGTAGATTAATTGTTGCAACAACCCCACCCTATTTTAGTATGATATGTTAGTTTAGGGAACTGTCCTGCAGGCAAACGGGTATAAGACAGGCCAAGGTACCATTTAATTAAATTGCATTTATTTTTATCCATTGATCAAACAGATTACAAAACTTGCAATTGAAAGAGACTATTTTAAAATAATTAGTTCCCAAAAACACACACGAGCAACACTCGCGCCTGACAGTCAAGAACCAGGGAGAATACAGTACGCAGAGCGCGCCTGACAGACAAGAACCAGGGAAAATACAGTACGCAGAGCGCGCCTGACAGACAAGAACCAGGGAAAATACAGTACGCAGAGCGCTGAGTATGTGAACGGAGCAATCGCTTGCTGCTGTTATTATAATAGCTAGATCCATGCTTGCAGCCCGTGCAAAGCGTGCACTCACTCACAGCCGCTAACAACAACCAGAGCGGCCACGGAGGAGGCCATCTCACACGCAGCATTCTGAGTGATATTCTTATGGATAAATGGGCGGGTCATTCGGACATGCGTTAATGCGTTTAAAAATAAATAACGCGTTAATAAAAAATGTAATTAACGTGAGTTAACGCGATAATTTTGACAGCCCTAATAAGAACACTTATGCAAACACACATATACACACACACACGCTCACATACACACACACACACACACACATACATGGACACACACACACACACCGGGCGGCACGGTGGCCCTGAGATTAGCGCTTGTGTTTCACAGCAAGGTCCTGGGTTCGATTCCACCTCCAGGTCTTTCTTAGAGGAGTTTGTATGTTCTCCCTGTGTCTGCGTAGGTTTTCTCCAGGTGCTTCGGTTTCCCCTACCACTAAAAACATGTACAATGTGTAAATGTAATGATTTGTATGGATGGATCAGTGAGTGAAGCGTCTCGCTTCATCCCCGTGTGGACAGAGAATGGAACAATGTCTGAATTCTCAACAATTATAAAGTGGTTTGTGTGAACTTGGTCTGTAAATGCGCTATATAAATAAACATTACTTACCATTTACTTACTTTCCTTTTTCCTTGAAGCTTTAGGAGTTTGCCGCTTGTGAAAGTGAAAAACTATGTTTTAATTTAATTCAACAACATTGTCTGCACAGTAACTGGTGTAGTGACCTGTCCCTTCCTCTGTGGCCCCCAGACCTCACTCACCCAGCAGCCTCAGAGAGCACCACTGCAGGGGGCTCAGCCACAGGGAGCCCGGGGGCCTCAGGGGTCCCAGCACAGGAGGAGGGGCAGGAGGACCTCAGCAGTTCTCAGTTTGTCTGTGAGACGGTCATTCGCTCCATGGCCCTGGAGGAGGCCCCCGAGCCCCGGCCAGTCCCACATCCCAGGGCTGAAGGTCCAGGGGCCACAGGGGCCACAGGGGCCACAGTCAGTGGTGAGTGTGCTCATCATAACTCAAAGAAAAGAACGGACAGAGAGTCTGACATGTCCCATACAGAGAAGGCAAGAACGTGTATTTGTACATCACAGTTGTGTAGTTGTGATTGGACGCTTTGCTCTCGTTAAACTCACATTTACAAAAGTGGATTAGAGTTCCACTCGTCTCCATGGTAACAGTGGCTCACACACTTGTGTTTTGTGTCCCTCAGCTCAGGGGCCCTCCTCCTCGGCTCTGAAAGGCCTGAAGAGTCCCGGGACCAGCCCGTCTAAACCTCCGGCCCCACTGCAGGTTCTGTGTGTGCCCTCCACAGCTGCTAAGGGCCCCTACTGTGCTCAGGGGCCCCGCTCTGTCCCCACACACCTCCAGGCCTCGGCCACAGCTGCAGGTGACACAGCTACACACATCTACACACAGCTGCACACAGCTACACATAGCTACACACAGCTACACACAGCTACACACAGCTGCACACAGCTACACACAGCTACACACAGCTGCACACAGCTGCACACAGCTGCACACAGCTACACACAACTACACACAGCTACACACAGCTACACACAGCTGCACACAGCTGCACACAGCTACACACAACTACACACAGCTACACACAGCTACACACAGCTGCACACAGCTGCACACAGCTGCACACAGCTACACACAGCTACACACAGCATCCACATCCACAACACATCACTCTCCTCTAGGCCACATCTGATTTTAAGGGTGTATTCAGACCTGCACATTTGCTCCACTTTAAACGGACCAGGATTCGTTTGGAACTCTGATCCGAAGCTTTTATGCAGGTCTGAATACACACACACGAATCCTGGTCCGGACCAAAGAACCGAACCGAGACCCACTTTTTGAGGTGGTCTCGGTCCGCTTCCAAACGAATTCTGGTCCAAGTCGAATCAGGTCTGAATACATCCGGTGTTGATCCGACACAACTCCAAGATACGTGCGCATTTTTTGGGCTTAACAAGCCGCAGACAGAAACTGAAGAATTAGCCACGCAGCGGCTAACTCTGCTGCTAACGCTACACAACAACAATGAGCTGTGTGCAGACTGGAGCAGTGAGGAGACGCTGTGCAACAGGCTCACAGTATACAGTGATGTTAATGGCAGCATCTTCAAACCATTTGCATTATTAAAAACCTGACACTGTTTGACTCACGTCTCAAAGAACAATATTCCGCATCATGTAGTGAATTGTGTTCTTTGGTTCCTACCTGGTCCTCAGCGTCTGTCCACAATGCTGAACAGGGCCGTTATTATCATAGATCCATGTGTGGGACAGAGTTATTATCATAGATCCATGTGTGGGACAGAGTTATTATCATAGATCCATGTGTGGGACAGAGTTATTATCATAGATCCATGTGTGGGACAGGGTTATTATCATAGATCCATGTGTGGGACAGAGTTATTATTATAGATCCATGTGTGGGACAGGGTTATTATCATAGATCCATGTGTGGGACAGAGTTATTATCATAGATCCATGTGTGGGACAGAGTTATTATCATAGATCCATGTGTGGGACAGGGTTATTATCATAGATCCATGTGTGGGACAGAGTTATTATCATAGATCCATGTGTGGGACAGGGCACGGAGCGCACAGACAGTTTCCTTCGGCTTTCTCCTCACGCATTCTCCAACACTGTTCCAATATTTAAAACAACGTGTTTCGCCTGCGTCATATGAGCTGCTGTTGATGTTGAAGGTGGTTTTGCTCTAAAAAGAGCAAACATAGGCAGAGCAGACATGTTGCAGATACGAGCCCTCAATGTTTTCCGCCGGTTCCGCGTCTATCCTCCGTGAGCTCTCGCTGTCCAATAGGAGCCGATCGTCACACGTGTCAATATGTTTATATAAAAAAGTTCATTTGCAAAAAGGACAGTCTGAACAAACCGGAGCAAAAGAAAAAAAAAGTTTGGTCCGCTTTTGATTCGGATTAAACAAGCGGAGCAAAGGACTTAGGGTCTAAATACACCCTAAAACTATTCTACTGAGCTCTGACAAAAAGAAAATTCACACTGACCACCTGAACTTACGACTGCTGAAGTGAGAGAGACCAGAGAGAGAGACCAGAGAGAGACCAGAGAGAGAGAGACCAGCGAGAGACCAGAGAGAGAGACCAGAGAGAGACCAGAGAGAGAGAGACCAGAGAGAGAGAGACCAGAGAGAGAGACCAGCGAGAGACCAGAGAGAGAGACCAGAGAGAGACCAGAGAGAGAGAGACCAGAGAGAGAGACCAGCGAGAGACCAGAGAGAGAGACCAGCGAGAGACCAGAGAGAGACCAGAGAGAGAGACCAGAGAGAGACGAGAGACCAGAGAGAGAGACCAGAGAGAGACCAGAGAGAGAGACCACAGAGAGACCAGAGAGAGACCAGAGAGAGAGACCAGAGAGAGAGACAAGAGAGAGAGACAAGAGAGAGAGACCAGAGAGAGAGACCAGAGAGAGAGGGAGAGACCAGAAAGAGACCAGAGAGAGAGACCAGAAAGAGACCAGAGAGAGAGACCAGAGAGAGACCAGAGAGAGAGACCAGAGAGAGAGGGAGAGACCAGAAAGAGACCAGAGAGAGAGACCAGAAAGAGACCAGAGAGAGAGACCAGAGAGAGACCAGAGAGAGAGACCAGAGAGAGAGACCAGAGAGAGAGGGAGAGACCAGAAAGAGACCAGAGAGAGAGACCAGAAAGAGACCAGAGAGAGAGACCAGAGAGAGACCAGAGAGAGAGACCAGAGAGAGAGGGAGAGACCAGAAAGAGACCAGAGAGAGAGACCAGAAAGAGACCAGAGAGAGAGACCAGAGAGAGACCAGAGAGAGAGACAAGAGAGAGAGACCAGAGAGAGACAAGAGAGAGAGACAAGAGAGAGACCAGAGAGAGAGACCAGAGAGAGACCAGAGAGAGACCAGAGAGAGAGACAAGAGAGAGAGACCAGACAGAGAGACCAGAGAGAGACCAGAGAGAGAGACAAGAGAGAGAGACCAGACAGAGAGACAAGAGAGAGAGACAAGAGAGAGAGACAAGAGAGAGAGACCAGAGAGAGAGACAAGAGAGAGAGACAAGAGAGAGAGACAAGAGAGAGAGACCAGAGACAGAGACAAGAGAGAGAGACAAGAGAGAGACCAGAGAGAGACCAGAGAGAGACCAGAGAGAGAGGCCATGAGAACGCAGTGGTGCACACAAGCCACAAAAGTTTTCTTCTGACTTTAAATTAAAGTAATTGTCATGTTTTACTTGTGTTTCTATAATGTTGTATGTTGTGTTTACATGAGGAGCGAGCTGTAAAAACATTCAAACTCACAAAACGCACAAACTAAACTAAACAGACTCCATCAACGCTGGAGTGAGAGACCCTCCACAGCAGCAGATGTTCATGTGTCCTGTGTGGTCCCCAGATGAGGGGGGCCAGTACACCATGAAGAGCCTGTGTGTGGCTCCTGCCCAGGGGCCCCAGCGCGGGGACAGGCCTCGGAGCCGCTCCTCCTCCACCTCCTCAGAGGACTACATCATCATCCTGCCTGACTGCTTCGACACCAGCCGGCCCCTGGGGGACTCCATGTACAGGTGCGTATGTGCGGGGCCCTCACACTCACTGGATACTGCTGAGACGAGACGGAGCCGATGCATTCAAGAGCACAGGAGACTGATTAGAATGTTCGTGTTTATAGCCCCGTTTCCACCAGCTCTACTTGGCCCTGCTCTACTCTACTCAGCCATATGAAGATTGACCAATCAGATGCCTTCAATTGCGGAGGAAATTCTAGCTTGTCTTAGCAACACTGACCATGTTACAGCACAAAGCTAATAAGGAAATTGGCTCCAGCTAGCTTATGTTTGAATGTGCATTAAGGCTAACAGTATGTGATGTCACACTCGGTCAGTCCACTTCTATGATCTAAGAAGCTTAAAGAACCTATAGAGCCGCCATCATAACTCTGCTCTGACCATCGGGTTCTGTTTATCCTTGTTCTTTGGTTTTTTAAATGTATTTATTTGCTTAGTTACCGAAAACAAATGCACATCAAACAACAACAATCTTTGTTATCAGCGTAATATCACACATTTATAAGTAATTCACAGATTGTTGTCAAGAATTCTCCGTCATTCCCATTTCACCTCCAAAAATGTGTTGGCGCTGGCCCTGGCCCATTTAAAATACATGAGTTCATACAGTCTACAGTTCATTTAGAGTTTGGGAAAAAAAAAAAAAAAACTAGAGAGAGACCAGGGAGAGACCAGAGCGAGACTAGCGAGACCAAAGAGAAAGACCAGAGAGAGACCCCTGAGATAGACTAGGTAGAGACCAGATAGAAAGACAGAGAAAGACCAGAGAGAGACCCCTGAGATAGACTAGGTAGAGACCAGATAGAAAGACAGAGAAAGACCAGAGAGAAAGACCAGAGAGAGACCCCTGAGATAGACTAGGTAGAGACCAGAGAGACCCCAGAGAGAATATATATTATTACAGTATTTGAAGAGAAAAAGTAAAAAAAATCTTCATGTGTCTTGTTTTGTTTGTCCCTCAGCTCTGCTCTGTCTCAGCCTGGGGACATTCCTGCGATCACAGCCCCAGACCCAGACCCGTCCCCAGACCCTGACCTGTCCCCAGACCCAGACTTGTCCTCTGACCATTCCCCCAGCTCCGCCTCCGAGCCCTCCCCCTCCTCCACCGCCACAGAGAGCAGCGCCCACGACATGCTGTGCACCTCGCAGACCCTGGAGCAGGAGCCTCTGACTCCGGAGGTGGTGGCGCCCCCTCTGGCTCACAGGTCAGCCGCACCACACACACACACACACTCGTCCACTTTATTCATAGAGCACATTTTATAAAACAAGTAAACCTGTACTCGTCCCCTCAGTGGGAAATGTCAATGTCATTATAGATAGATAAAGCAGGGTCTGGGTCTGCTTCACACGTGGGTCTGGGTCTGCTTCACACGTGGGTCTGGGTCTGCTTCACACGTGGGTCTGGGTCTGCTTCACACCTGGGTCTGGGTCTGCTTCACACGTGGGTCTGGGTCTGCTTCACACGTTGTGATTCTGTTGTGATTCTGTTGTGATTGTGTTGTGACTCTGCTGTGATTCTGTTGCGATTCTGCTGTGATTCTGTTGTGATTCTGCTGTGATTGTGTTGTGACTCTGCTGTGATTCTGCTGTGATTCTGCTGTGATTCTGTTGTGATTCTGCTGTGATTCTGCTGTGATTCTGTTGTGATTCTGTTGTGATTCTGCTGTGATTCTGCTGTGATTGTGTTGTGATTCTGTTGTGATTCTGCTGTGATTCTGTTGTGACGTTTAGGCCTGAGAGTCCCGGAGCCGGTGATCCTCCAGCTGCAGAGGGCAGCCCCGCACCAGAGACGCCCCACGGTCAGTACTATTTACCGTTTGCAGTAAAACCAGATTAAAACACAGGAGCAAAGATCCCCCAGAATGCACCAGACAAGCACATACATGAAACAGGCCACGCACTGTTTTAACTCACCACATTTTGACTCGTTCCTGTCTTCCTCGTGCTGAAACACTGACATGGGTCTAAACAACACGCCAACCTTTCCTTCTGTTGTTTAACACAGTCACAGACCAGAGTCACAAAGCACTTTACTATTGTGGGCATTTGTATCTCACTCCACACAGAGATGGGAGCGGGGCCAGTACAGGAGGCACATGCCAAAACTATTGCACATGCTTTTAGTGGTAGGGGAAACCGGAGCACCCGGAGGAAACCTACACAGACACGGGGAGAACATAGAAACGTCACTCAGAAAGACCATGTTCGGACCACATCAATATCAATATCAGAATCATTATTATTGCCATGTAAGTAACAGGAAGCACAGACTAGAAAATGGATTTCAAAAGTACAAAAGAATAAGGCAAAATAAAACATTTCTAAACATCAATATTGAGCTAAAACGATAAAGAAGTAGTTGGCGATCAGCAGATGAGCCAAAATGCCTGTGTAGGAGAGAGATAGAAGTCGTGCGGGGAGATGAAGGAGGACCCAAAAATACAAAATGGTGAAAAAAAAAGATTGCTTGATGATAATTAATACACGGTCAGAGTAAAAACAAATCAAAAGACATTACAATGACCCAGGACAAGGGGAAAGAGGAGCACAGGTACAAGTTCACACACAGAGACAGGGGAAACACATTAATCAATCAACAGCTGGGACCAAGACGGACTAAAGCCTCAGGGAAAAGAAGTCAAAATAAAACAAAAAGTAAAATAACAACAATCCACACAATGACAACAGATACTTTATGGATCCATGCACACACAGATAAACACTGTTCCTCTGTCCACAGACGAGAAGGACCACGATGACACCGGAGGAGACCCTGCTGAGCCTGAGCACGAGGCTTCAGAAGAAGATCACAGGTACATCACACATCATACAGAAGATCACAGGTACATCATACAGACCACAGGTACATCACACATCATACGGAAGATCGCAGGTACATCACACATCATACAGAAGATCACAGGTACATCATACAGACCACAGGTACATCACACATCATACGGAAGATCACAGGTACATCACACATCATACAGAAGATCACAGGTACATCACATCATACAGAAGATCACAGGTACATCATACAGACCACAGGTACATCACACATCATACAGACCACAGGTACATCACACATCATATGGAAGATCACAGGTACATCATACAGACCACAGGTACATCACACATCATACAGAAGATCACAGGTACATCACACATCATACAGACCACAGGTACATCACACATCCTTCAGACCACAGGTACATCATACAGACCACAGGTACATCACACATTATACAGACCACAGGTACATCATACAGACCACAGGTACATAACACATCCTACAGAAGATCACAGGTACATCACATCATACAGACCACAGGTACATCACACATCCTACAGACCACAGGTACATCATACAGACCACAGGTACATCACACATCATACAGACCACAGGTACACCATACATCATACAGACCACAGGTACATCACATCATACAGACCACAGGTACATCGCACATCCTACAGACCACAGGTACATCACACATCATACAGACCACAGGTACATCACACATCATACAGAAGATCACAGGTACATCATACAGACCACAGGTACATCACACATCATACAGACCCCAGGTACATCACACATCCTACAGACCACAGGTACATCGTACGGAAGATTACAGGTACAACATATAGACCACAGGTACATCACACATCATACAGACCACAGGTACATCACACATCCTACAGACCACAGGTACATCCTACAGACCACAGGTACATCACACATCATACAGACCACAGGTACATTACACATCATACAGACCACAGGTACATCACCTATCCTACAGACCACAGGTACATCACCTATCCTTCAGACCACAGGTACATCGTACGGAAGATTACAGGTACAACATACAGACCACAGGTACATCACACATCATACAGACCACAGGTACATCCTACAGACCACAGGTACATCACACATCATACAGACCACAGGTACATCACACATCATACAGACCACAGGTACATTACACATCATACAGACCACAGGTACATCACCTATCCTACAGACCACAGGTACATCACCTATCCTTCAGACCACAGGTACATCATAGAGATCACAGGTACATCATACAGACTACAGGTACATCACATCATACAGACCACAGGTACATCACACATCCTACAGACCACAGGTACATCACACATCATACATACCACAGGTACATCACATCATACAGACCACAGGTACATCACACATCCTACAGACCACAGGTACATCACACATCATACAGACCACAGGTACATCACACATCATACAGACCACAGGTACATCACACATCATACAGACCACAGGTACATCACCTATCCTACAGACCACAGGTACATCACCTATCCTACAGACCACAGGTACATCCCACATCATACAGACCACAGGTACATCACACATCATACAGAAGCTCACAGGTACATCCTACAGACCACAGGTACATCACACATCCTACAGAAGATCACAGGTACATCATACAGACCACAAGTACATCATACATACCACAGGTACATCACATCATACAGACCACAGGTACAACACCTATCCTTCAGACCACAGGTACATCATAGAGATCACAGGTACATCATACAGACCACAGGTACATCATACAGACCACAGGTACATCACATCATACAGACCACAGGTACATCACACATCCTACAGACCACAGGTACATCACCTATCCTACAGACCACAGGTACATCACATCATACAGACCACAGGTACATCACACATCATACAGACCACAGGTACATCACACATCCTACAGACCACAGGTACATCATACAGACCACAGGTACATCACACATCCTACAGACCACAGGTACATCACACATCATACAGACCACAGGTACATCACATCATACTGACCACAGGTACATCACA